GATCAAGGTAAGATTTGTCTTTTATACTTTTTAATTTTGGTTTTTGTGATAAAACTTCATATATTAGATTATAAATTTTTGTCTTTTTAAATTTTTTGACAACCTTTCAGTGGTTTTTTGGCAGCATATTTTGTTCCTATAGAAAGCTCTTTTCAAGACCTTTTCAATAGTTTTTGTTGTATCTAATTTGATTGCTTATTTTAAGAGTTAAGAATTTTTGAAATTGTGAAAAATAAATATTTGACAATTTTGATAAATTAATTTTGGGTTGTTGAAAATTTTTATTCTAATGATCGATTTGATTGAATTTTAAGTAATTTTGATGGTATAAAATGTGATTTTTTTAATAATATAATTGATTTATTTAAATAATTTATACGTTAAGTGAATCGAAATTTTAAAATAAAATTTATTAATCTAAAGCTTAAAAAATTTAAATTATTTGTGATTATTTATAAAATTTTGATTTCTATAATTTAAGCTTATAAAATTCATTTTTACTGAAATAAAAATTTTAATTTATAATATTACACATTCCTAATTTAAATTTGTGCCTTTGTCATTAGGAAATGTGAATTTTAAAAATTTTGTGGCTAAAAATAAACTAGACACTTATAAAATACAAAAATTTATTTTCAATTATTTTAAAAATTATTTTCAGCCAGTATTTTAGTTATATTTTTTTAATGAATTTTTATTTATTTTAGTATATTTTTATTGTATTAATTTTATATTGTTATTCTTATTAAAATATTATTAAATTAGATTGCAACTTATAAAAATAATTATTATTAAATATTAAAATTAAATATTTATAAATATTTATATTATTAGTGATTTTTATGTTTTTAATTTATAATTTATATTTATATTAATATTTTAAATATTTTATTATATTAAAATAATTTTATTTTAATATATTAAAAATATTTTCAAATAGTTTGAATTAGTCACAACAGTTGCCATACATTTTTCTTCAATTCTGCAATAACCCCATCTTCCGCCGTTGTGTCATAGTTGAATCCTTGCGAGGACCTGGTCTCCTTGGAAATCTAAACAAGTGGATTTTCGATGATTATGGTTTGTTAGATGACATTCCTGATCCTAGTGGTGATCTTCCCTCACTTGACCCTTCAGGCCCAATCTGGTCATCTCACTCCCTTATTTGTTGTGCTCCTCTCAGGCTTCCCTCTTCTCCCTTTTTTCTTTTTCTTTTTGTTTTTGATGAATTTTAAAATGAAATGGAATTTAATATTATTGGAATTTACCTTGAATCTCAGAATCCCACATCAAAAGTTAAGTGAGTTTAAGTTTGTCTTGTATCTCACATCAGAAATTTAGTAAACGTATAAAGGGTTTCACCCTTATAAATATGATGTTTTGGTTTTGGTTTGATAATCTCAGAGAGTTAGACACCAAGAGAATAGCTAAGTGAGTAGGTTATTAAAAGAGTGTAATTGAGTTTTGGGTTAAGTTTTGAGTAAGAAATTTTACGAAACTTTTCTCATTCTAAAAGTCTCACAATTGTAAAGATTTATTTATTAGTGGATTAGGTTTAGAGTAGGTCATTTTGAATTGGGCCGAATCAAATATTTGTGTGTTCTTATTCTTGATTTGAGTTTGCTATTGTGTGTGTGGTTGCTGCGTGTGGCTGTTGTTTTTTTCCAACAAGTGGTATCAGAGCGAGGTTCGAAACAAGTGGTATCAGAGCGAGGTTCGAGGTTTAAGGTTTGTTGGCCCAAGAGATCGTGAAGCAGTGTTTGAATGCCTATGCCTAAGTTTGATATTACGTTATTTGATGGAATGAGTAATTTTATGTTATGGCAAAATATTATTCAAGATCTGTTAGTACAACAAGGGTTGGATCAGGCATTAGAGAGTAATAAGCCTGAGGGAATGTCTGATGCTAATTGGAATAGGATTCAAAAAAAGGCTGTTAGTACTATTAGATTGACGTTAGGATTCAGAAGAAGGCTGTTAGTACTATTAGATTGATGTTAGCTCTAAAAGTAAAGTAGAGTACTCCAAAAAGTTTATGCTTCGAAGTCATTGACTAGTAGATTATGTTTAAAGATGGATCTGTATTCTCTGAAGATAGAAGAAAGTATGAGTCTTCATAATCACCTGAATGAGTTTAATAGATTGATTTTTCAATTGCTAGCGATTTCTGTTGATGAGTTAAAAGATGAAGAGAATGTTTTAATTTTGCTATCATCTTTGCCAAAGTCTTATAGGCCTTTAGTTTAACTGTGTTAGTGGGCATGTCTACTTTAAAGTTGGATGATATGACTGCCCTGTTACGTGAGAATGAAAGGTTTATGGGAGCTCAGAACTCATCACCTGGGGGAGTACACTAGCTGTAAAGGGTTTTGATCGAGGGAGGACTCAAAAGAGGATTGATGGATCAAGAGGGAGATCCAAGTCAAGAGACAGAGATTACAGTGATATAGAATGTTATTATTGTGGTGAGAAGGGATATATCCAAGTGCGCTGTAGGAAGCTGAGAAAGGATATGGTTGCCTTTAAAAAGGTGAATGATGAGAAAAAATCAGATGAAGAAAAGAGTGATACTGCTGCCATCGTGTCTGATGATGATGTTGTTTTGACAACTTGTGTGGATGAGTTTGAAAAGTGATAAAGGTTGGGTTTTAGATTCAGCTGCTACAGTTCATGTTTGCAATGATAGGAGTTACTTTGTGGAGTTGGATGAGAATGAGAAGTATGGGGATATTGTGGTTGCTAACAAATAAAAGGTGTAGATTCAAGGCATTAGGAGTGTTCGCCTTAGATCTCACAATGGTGTTATTAGGACACTTTGTCATGTAAGGTATGTACCAAATTGTTACTACAATTTGATTACTTTGGGTGAGTTAACTTCTCGGGGGTACACATATTATGGTAATAATGATTGGTTAAAAGTGTACAAGAATGGTATTGTGATTCTATAAGGGAATAAGGTCAATAATCATTTGTACATGTTTGATGGAGGCTCAGATGCTGAGATGCCTGTGATGAAAGAAAAGAAGAAAGGTAAGCGTGTTAGCTTTTCAGATACTGTTGAAGTGTTTGAAGATTCAAGTCAAGGGAGGATTTGTTGGGATTTACCTTGAATCTCAGAATCCAACATCGAAAGTTAAGTGAGTTTGAGTTTATCTTGTATCTCACATCGGGAGTTTAGTAAAAGTATAAAGGATTTCACCCTTATAAATATGATGTTTTGGTTTTGGTTTTGGTTTGATAATCCCAGAGAGTTAGACACTAAGAGAATAGATAAGTGAATAGGTTATTAAAAGGGTGTAATTGGGTTTTGGGTTAAGTTTTGAGTAAGGAGTTTTATGAGACTATTCTCATTCTAAAAGTCTCACAGTTGTAAAGATTTATTCGTTAGTGGATTAGGTTTAGAGTAGGTCATTTTGAGTTGGGCTGAACCAAATATTTGTGTGTTTTTATTTTTTATTTGAGTTTGCTATTGTGTGTGTGGTTGCTACGTGTGGGTGTTGTTTTTTCCCAACAAATATTACTTGATTATCTCATATTTGATTAACTGAACTGTAGGTAGGTTTCTATTTCAAGTAACGATTTTTCCAATTTTGTGGTACTCAAATGAAGCAATTGCTTTTGACTTTTTTTCGTCTGTTCCAAGTTGTCTGTTGCTTTAGCCTTATTTAGTTTAGCATTATGTTTAGCAATGGAATTGGGCTATAAGCTAAGTGGCTGGCGAGCTGCCATGACCAGGCTGCTCCCTCAAACTAAGCTATTTACTTTCCCGTTGTACTTTAAACATGCTTATTAATCTTTCTTGATATTTCTGCAGTGTTGAATTAATGAATCTTTTGGGAATCCAGACAATCTTAACGAAGCAGGCTACGGAAAACGGTATACGGTTACTCAATTGTTATTTTTTTTAGTTGTATTTCCTTACTCTACTTCTGTAATGCGGTTTCTGCTCTAGCTCTGCACCATTTTGTTCTTCAAGTTTCTGTACAGTTTTAGTGTAATTGGATGCTTGGATTTGTTGCTTGGTTTCACACCAGGTCTCCTTTAGTAATCTCTTCACTATTCTGTCACAGGGTGAGGTCTGGATCATGCTGTGCATCTGGCTCCAAAGCATGCAGAGAAAAGATGCGAAGGGATAGGCTAAATGAAAGGCATGTTTTATTGCCCTAATTTCTTTGTCTTTAACCCAATTTACCTTTTCTGATATTTACATTTTCATTATGTCAAGGTTCCTGGAATTGGGTTCTATCCTGGATCGTGGAAGGCTTCCCAAAGTGGACAAGGCTTTTATATTGGTTGATGCAGTTTGGATGGTTACTCAGTTACAGGATGAAGCACATAAACTGAGGTAGTCTAATGAGAGTCTGCACGAGAAGATTAATGAGCTAAAGGTGAGCCTGGATTTTGATGTTCATTTATTCTACGTTTGTGCCAGTATACATGGACGAGTGGTGCATGTTAAAATTTGTATTTGATGCATCGGTATTGCTTAAATTTCCGGGAGAATTTAGTGGCTTGAGTGTTTAATTCTTCTTGGTTGTACTGAGTAGAGTTTTATTTTGTAGGCTGAAAAGAAGAAACAGAGACTCAATACTGAGAAAGAGAATCTTGAGCAGCAAGTCAAGGCCTTGGCTTCTCAGCCAGGATTCCTACCGCATCTTCCTGCTATTCCAAATCCATTTTCTACGCCAGGCCAACTTGTTGGTGGCAAGCTGGTGCCTTTGTTGGTATCCTGGAGTTTCCATGTGGCACTTCTAGCCTCCTGCTGCTGTTGATATATCACAGGATCATATTCTCCGGCCTCCAGTTGCATAAACTGGCAGGCTGTTATTTTTTGTCTGCCTTAGCACAAAGAACCATTGTTCAAACTTATATTTGTCATTGTTATTGGTGGTTTTCTTTTTAATTTGTACTTTTTACTCCCCTCTGGAAGAGTATGAGAACTGAAAGCCATGTTGGGCGAAGCTTGGAAGTTGAAACTCTCATCATCAATTGCTCGGATAACTTTTAATTTTGTACAAATAAATTTTGGTCAATTATGTTGCCCAATCTCTGAAGTTAGATACACTAAAAGTTGAAAACCGTTGATCACAGAGGTGGATTATATCTTATTATAGGATGTGGGATTTCCACACAAACTTTCACGCCCACCTCTTGTTGGTGAGATATACAGCAAAGCCTTTAACGGGAATATAATATATAGAAACGAAATTTAAGATAATAAACTTATTGTATACAACTTCCAAACACTATCTAGGAGATAGCTCAGTAATTGAAACCTCGTTGAGGGATGTTGGGAGTAACTCGATATTGGAGTTGTTGGACACCCATGAATTAGTGGCCAATGAAGATGACATGTCAGTTTCAATGTCGCTTTGCATACAAAACGCTGGTTGTGACGGTACTGGGAGGATGGTCGAGAAGCTATTCAGCATGAAAATAACTGCAGCCATGGTTGGTCTCCCAGCTACGTTTTCTTGAACGCATAGCAGTGCGATGTGGATGCATCTCATTATCTCATTTCTTGAAAAATCACTCAATGTGGGATCGATCAGATTCAATGCTGTCCCTTCTCTCCAATTTTTCCACGCCTGACAAGAAATCAGCAATGTCCACTTACAATACTGAAATATGACTCTTAACATTTACAATTTTATTCGCATGAGGAAACAAACATGACTCTAGTCTTTAGAATCATACACTTACAAAGTTCAGCATGAACTCATTATTCTCCCCGTGGCAGAAGCTATTATTTTTCTGACCACTGATAATTTCTAAAAGTAATACACCAAAGCTGAAGACATCTGATTTTACTGAGAAATGTCCCTGCATAGCATATTCTGGAGCCATGTATCCACTGCATCATGGAAAAGTTCGTGAAATTTTTATTCTATTTTGGATTTTCATGCTGTTTCTGCTGCATAGAATACTACTAGATTAATGCGTGTATAAAAAAAAAAAATTCCATGCTCTTACTAGGTTCCCACAATTCTCACAGTACTGCCTTGCGTTTCATCCCGTCCAAGCGGCCTTGCCATCCCAAAACCGGAAATTTTAGGAATCATATCAGCATCTAACAAAATATTACTTGGTTTGAGATCCCGATGAATTATCCGAAGTTTAGAATCTTCATGAAGGTAAAGGAGACCACGGGCAATGCCTTCGATGATTTTGTAGCGTGTTTTCCAATCTAATTGTGCTCGCTTGGTCCGATCTATATTATCACAAAAATTTTAGATCAATTGTATTGCATAGGAACAAATTCTAGGATTAATATAGGTTTTCCTCAGGTATTATCAGTCTTAACATGTCATTCTTGATAGCTATGCAGCTAAAAGGCATAAAATATACAAAAAACTATAGTCTTTGAAAACATGAAACTCAATTTGTTTTTTGCTAGGAAAAGGAAACTGATATAAATACAATTAGAAATGAAATTGAACCTGAAACTTTACCAAAAATGAAATGATCAAGGCTTCTGTTTGGGACGAACTCAGAGATGAGAATCTTTTCATGTCCTTCCAAGCAGAAACCAAGAAACCTAATCAAATTGTGGTGTTGAAGCTTGGCCAATAATAGAACTTCGTTCTTAAATTCTATGTCTCCTTGTTGAGATTTCCTATACATTCTTTTCACAGCAACCTCTTGTCCATTTGGAAGCTGACCCTGGAAATAAAGTAGAATGTACCATAAGTGACTTCTGATGGATTTAGAAATACAGGTTACAATATGATTCTCGTTGAGATAAAATATACTATTTTCTTTTCTGATAGCAGTGGTGATCTTTACCTTGTAAACAGCTCCAAATCCTCCATGTCCCAGCTTATTGGCATCTGAAAAGTTATTAGTTGCAGCCAGAACAGAATCAAAGTCGATTCGCAAGGACTCAGCCCCAATAATCTCATCCTTAGCTGCAAAACGCAATATGTTTATTGTACAGTTTCCTCACCATCTGGTCTATGACCATAGCAGTAGTGTGCTGTTTGTTTTTAGCAGGTGAACATTTCGTTGAGCGTCTTTCTATCATTATATATGTTTTAGTAATCAAGCCAAATTTAACGTTATATTAACGGAGTCAATTTACTTACTTTCAACTTTTTCCGGTGTTTTTTTGCGTCTCATAAAAATGTATATGGAGATGATAATTAGTATCAGAACGCCAACAACTGAAGCAATAACAATGATTATTGTTCTTGTTGTGTTGTTCCCATTTCCTGCAAAACACAAAATTAGAATTAGAAGACAATCCCCACAATTAATGACACAAACAGAAATAAATAAATAAGCAAGATCCCTTGGAATCTGGTAGGCACATATTAAACCACTACTCATTTGCTGGTCATCTAGAAATTATTCTATTTCCTTTTTGAGTGTTTTGCTCTGCTTGCTCTGTTTTTACATGATCTATTCAAAATCTTTCTTATAACTATAATTTTCTACTATACATGCATGTTTAATTAGCTGATTTATATTGGCTTTATTAAAAAAAATACTACTAAAATTTTCTTTTCCTTTGCTATTAAGTTTTCAATTAAAAAAAAGTTTTTGAATCATCATTATTATAATTCTTCATGGTGAAGACAAAGAACGGTCAAACTTCAAAGTTAAAAAGAGATAGCCGCCCTTGAATGAATGAGTCGAAGTCTTCCACGTAGTACTTAAGTAATCTTAACCCAATAAAAAATTGAAGAAAACAACAAAATTATCGAGGAAATGGCTGTTTCCTTTCTTAGAACGAAAACTTTGTGGGTTTGCCAATTGAACAGTAGCATGCATCTTAATGCGAGAAAATGAATAAACACAAAGGCCATTTGCAGCGGATTCAAGGGAACAATCAAAAATCCATTTTGTACCCAAAAAGGAAAAGCCAAGATATATACCATCTGTAAATTGTAAATTACATTTCTTATGCTAAGCGAATCCTTATATAGTCAAGATCTTATTATTCTTAGCATTAATTTTCAAGGAAAGAGAATCATATCTTTTAGCAGAAAGGCGAGATCCCTTACCTCCTATTGACGTCGGAGAAGAAGAAGTTGATGGAGATGGTGGCGGTGGTGGTGACGGTAGAGGAACTGTAAACTGATTATAAAATGGGTAATTAGTTTCAAACCTCAAGACACTGTTTGGTCTACCAACCTTACTCACACAACGATTTTAACACCCAATGAATGCTTGGTATTCAGTGACACATTTATGGTCATGTGTTTGCATCTTCTTTTCATGAGTGCTGTTAGAGACAAGCTTTTAAGCTCCTAAAAGTAACCATACTTCACATTCACATAAGTAGCTTCCATCAAGAGTGTTCCTGTAATTATAATACTTTAATATGTTTATGTTTTAGATCTATTAAGAGTATATTACTCATCATTCCTTTACCATTACGAGTACCTAGCACTTTACCTGAAATGATACTAAACATTACTATAGTGCTAGCAGTCGCATACAAATGATGTACTTTGTCTCATTGAACTCAAGACTTGACATTATATCAAGTGTTGAGTCAAGTTTCCATCATGGGTGACTTTACTTATTGAGCTTAAGCCCCATCCCTATTGAGGTCATTTTTACCAACTCTCTAGCAAGACTTTTGGTTAAAAAGTCTGTCAAGTTTTCACTTGTCCTCACATAATTTATAGTGATCACTCCATCTGAAATTAATTGTCGAATATAGCTATATCTTAATCCAATATGTCTAGACTTTCGATTATACACTTGGCTATATGCCCTTGCTAGAGTTGCTTCACTATCACATAGGATAAAGATTAGGGAAATTGGTTTAGGCCATAAAAGTACTTCATATAATAAATTTCTTAGCCATTCAACTTTTTTAGCTGTTATGACTAATGCAATAAACTTGGTTGCCATAGTGGAATTCGTTATGCATGTTTGTTTATTGGAACCCCAAAAATGACACCTCTACCAAGTATAAAGATCCACCCGCTTGTAGAAGCATGATCTTTCATGTTAGTAATCAAACTAGCATCAGAATATCCTTCTATAACTAAATGATATCCACTATAACACAATCCATAATTGATTGTTTTCTTTAAATATCGAAGTATTATTTTAACTACATGCCAATGTAAATTACTTAGATTACTTATTTATTTACTCAACTTTCTAATAACAAATGCTATGTCTGGCCTTGTATAAGTCATTGCATACATGAGACAACCAATTACTCTTGCATATTGCAATTAATCGATTGTTCTATCAATATTAGATACTAATTTCAATTGAGAATCCATAGATGTAGATACTGAAATACAATCGAAAAGATCAAACTTTTTAAGTATTTTTTCAATATAATGCAATTGTGACAGGGTTATGCCACTATCATTCTGGATTATTCTAATTCCAAAAATAACATTCACTACACCTATATCTTTCATTGAAAAGTTATTTGATAAAAAATTTCTTTGATTCCTTAACTTGTTCTAAATTAGTGCCAAATATTAACATATCATCCACACATAAGCAAATTATAACTCCTTTGCCATTTTTAAATTTGCTATATATACACTTATCTGACTCATTAATTCTAAAACCAGTAGCAAGAATGATTTTATCAAACTTTTGGTGCCATTGTTTTGGTGCTTGCTTAAGTCCATACAATGACTTTACAAGTTTACAAACTTTATGCTCTTGACCTGAAATGATAAATTATTTCGGCTATTCCATATATACTTCATCTTCTAATTCACCATTTAAAAATATCATCTTTACATCAATTTGATGTATAATTAAATTATAAAATCAAGGTAAGTGAAATTAGAAGCTTAATTGTAGTAATTCTAGCTACTAGAACATAAGTATCAAAGTAATCTATCCCTTACTTGTGTAAAGCCCTTGGCTACCAACCTTACTTAAAATTTATCTATGGTTCCATCCACTTTTTTTTTTTTTGAAAAACCATTTACAGCCTATTGATTAGAACCTGGTGAAAGCTTAATCAAAATCCAAGTGTTATTTTCCATTATTGAGCCCATTTCATCATTTATTGTTTCTTTCCAAAAACAGAATCTTGAGACTTCATTGCCTTTTCATATGTAACAGAATCAGACTCCACATTAAAACAATAAAGACTTTTATTGTTTATGTTTTCACCAATTCCTTCCATAAAGAACATAAAGAAATCTAATCTAAAATCTTTTGCCTTTCTAACCCCTTTGCTTGTCCCTATTTCTTGACAATATTCATTACTAATTTCAGTTTGTTCCAATAGATTTAGAATTTCTTTTCCACTTATAAGATGCATTGGTTGTAGTTGTCTCAAAATAGATTTAAATCTATTTTCATTAAAAATTACCTCTCTTGATTTAATAACAGTGTTAACTAAAATTAAATCATTTGGTTTAATAACTATGAACCTATATGCTTTACTATTTTGTGCATATCCTATAACTATGCATTCTATTCCTCTTTCACCCAACTTTTTCCTTTTGAATTTTGAAATTTTAACTACAGCTCTACATCCCTAAACTTTTAAATAATTAAGATTTGCTTTTCTTTTCTTCTATTGCTCGCGTTATATTGGTTCTTTGTTAGAAATTATATTTAGTTTATGATAAGCTGTTAGTAAAGTTTTCCCCCAAAATCCTAATCTCAGACCAGAATATGATAACATTGCATTTCCTATTTTTGTTAAGACCTTGTTTTTCCTTTCAATTACACCATTTTGCTATGGTGTATAAAAAGCAGTGACTTGGTGGATTATTCTTACAGATTCAAAATAACTTAGACTATAATGTTCTCCAACCCTATTCGACCTCAAACACTTGATAAAAGAATCACACTGAAGTTTAACTTTAGATTTATATATTTTAAACTTATCAAGTACTTCATTTTTGGAATGTAACATATAAACATAATAATATCTAGTATAATCTTCTATAAATGGGACAAAATATTTCTTTTCAGATAATATAGGAGTGCTATACATATCATAAACATTACTGTGAATTAACTCAAGTAACTTTGTATTTCTTTTAACCTTAGAAAAATGATTTATGGCAATCTTAGTCAACATGGATGTATTACATTTATTAACGTTTTGACTAAATTCAAGAATTAATAGAAGCTTAGTCGTATCATACAATTTTTTATAATTTAAATGACCTAATCTATAATGCCATAAATATGAAGATTCAACCATGTAAGCAGAAATAACATTCTTATTTTTATTAATACTATTGAGTTTGAATATTCCCTCATACATATACCTTTTCCTAACAAAAATTTCTCCTTTAGATAGAATAAATTTATTTGCCTCAAATACAAGTTTAAAATCAAACTTGTTCAACAGACTTCCAAACATTAAATTCTTTCTAACTTCTAGTACATAATAAACATCATTCAAAGTTAGAGTTTTTTTAAGAGTGAACTCAAGTTCAACAATCCCTTTGCCTTTTATTGTTGCTGTAGAAGAATTTTTCATTTAAAAGACACTACCATATTCACTTGGTTTGAATGTTGTGAACATGCTTTTATCCTTGCACACATGTTTTGTTACCCTAGAATCAGCCCACCAAGATTCAAAATTTTCAAGCATGTTGATTTCAGAAATCATTGTAACAAATTTTTTAAAAGTATCCCTTTTTGAGGAACCATTTTTCTTCTATAACAACTAAAATTCTTTCTTGAAATATCTTGGCTTACCACAATAATAACATGAGCTTTTCTTATTCTTCTTGAATTTGGGCCTATTAGCAATCTGCTTGAACTTGAACTTTTTTTTATCAAGTTTTGTAGTCTATCTTTCTTTAAAATATGAACTTTGGCATCACCAGAACCAAAATTTTTTTCTTACTTTCTATATTCCTTTTCAATTCAAAGATGATTAGCTAAAGTCTCAAGAGTGATTTTCTCTTTTTTATATTTTAGACTTCTTTTAAAGCCCTTCCATGATAGAAAAAAATTTTCTATTGTAGAGGACACAATAATTGTTTCATCTATACTCACATTATATTGTTGAAATTGATTAAGCATTTTTTCAATTTTACGTAGTTGTTTAATCACATAATGTCCATAAACTATAAGATAATTATTAAAATGACTAACAAAAAATTTCTTACTTGTTGCATCTTCAGTCATATATCTTATCTTCAATTTGTCTCAAAACTCCTTTACAGTAGCCTTATTTTGGTATGTATCAAACAGGCTGTCAAACAGATCATTAATAATATGACCTTTACATATGTAATCTGCATTATCCCATTTCTACCTCTCTCTTATTACAATAATAGATTCTTTTATTTCATTTTTTTTGGCTTAAGAGTAGTAAGAACATATACAACCTTCAAGGTTAAAAGCAAAAAATGCATCTTCTTCTACCATTTTCAAAAATTGCCACCACTATAATGATCCGATTTGACAAAATTAAAAGCCAATTCATTAAGTGTAACTTCAATAACCATTATTAAAACGAGGACAACCTTAAAATTGTTAGTGCAACATTGAAAAATTAGAATTACTGCTTATGAAAAATCTATAATTTTGAGAAAAGGCTCCAAAGACGTGTAACATTGTCATTTTCTTTCAGATTTTATTTGCCCACATCGTATTATTTACTTAGTGGGTGTGTCAAAAAGTTACAGGTAATAAACCTTGAGGATATAATGAAACATAGTGATTGATTGCATTTTGCATTGAAGAAATCAATCTACTAAGCAATCACTGATGTATCACAAGATTATTTAACTTTTATAAAGGTTTTTATAGCAAAACTTTTATAAAATAAATATGAAGTTTTAAGAAAGATGGAGAGTTTTAAGAATTATTTTTGTATGCTTTCAAAAAATCAAAGGAGCCTTTTATAAACAAATAAGTATCTTTTCTTGCGAATATAACTGTCTATTTTAAATAGATAAAAACTGTCTTTTTTGAACAGTTAAAACTATTCATTTTAAACATATTTATTTATCTATTTTGAACAGACTTAACTATCTATCTTTATTTTTTTTCAATATAAGATTATTTCTCATTTTTTATTTTGAAAATCTCTAACAAGATTTGTCTTTTACACCTTTTAATTTTGTTCTTTAAAACCCCATAAATTAGATTATGATTTTTTGTCTTTTTAAATTTTCTGGCAACTTTCCCATGGTTTTCTAGAAACATATTTTGTTTTTTGACAAATTGAGAGTCTAATGAGAGTCTGTAAGAGAAGATTAATGAACTAAAGGTGAGCTTGGATTTTGATGTTCATTTATTTTACGTTATATGTGCCAGTATACATGAACAAGTCATGCATGTTAAAATTTGTATTTGATGCATTGAAATTACTTAAATTTTCAAGAGAATTAGGTGATTTGAGTGTTTAATTCTTCTTGGTTGTGCTGAGTAAAGTTTTATTTTGTAGGCTAAAAAAAATTAACTTCATCATGAGAAACAATTAATGCTAAAAACTAAGAGAATCTTGAACAGCAAGTCAAGTTTCAGCCAGGATTCTTATCCCATTTTTGTGCTATTCCAGCTTTATTTTGTACCTTATGCAAAGTTGTTAGTGGTAAGTTGGTGCCCTTTTTTGGTTAGCTTAGAGTTTTCATGTGGTAGTTATTGCCTCCTACTGCTGTTGATACATTACAGGATCATATTCTTCCTTCTACGATTGCATAAGCTAACAAGCTATTATTGTGGAAACCCACATCCAACTTGTGAGGTATTATTCATTTTGACTTGAAGATCTCATGGTTTTGTCCCATTAAAAGCTCACCACAAATTTAGGTTTAAGCATTTACTTATATATTATAGCAGATCCTTAAATTTCTCGATGTGGGATTGGAGTATCACAAACTCTCTCCGTTAATGCTTGACGTCCCTGTTAAGCCTAGTACAAAACATATAGATCCACCAAATAACACTAAACATTGGGTAAGCCCAACACAAAACACACACAGACTATAGGATCATATCAGATGTTAAGATTCTAAAGGTGACTCTCACTGTGTAGCACTTAACTCTCGTAGGATGTTAAAGGTGGCTCTCATAATGTAGCATTTAATTTTCGTCTAATTAGTAATTGCTTTGATACCATTTGTAGAGACTTGCATTTAACTTGTGAGGTATTGTCTGTTTTAACTCGAAGGTCTCATGATTTTGTCTCACAAAAAGAATCTCATAAGTTTGGGTTTAAACCTCTACTTATATATCACAACAGATCTTTAAAATTTTTTTATGTGGGATTGAGGTGTCATAGTTATTTTGTGTCTACTTTCTTAGCACTAAAAACCATTGTTCAAACTTATATTTGTCATTGACCTTGGTGGTTTTCTTTTTAGTTTGTACTTTTTACTTTTTACCCCCATTTGAAAGAGTATGAAAACTAAATGATATTAAGTGAACTATTAAATGACCTGAGCTTTGTTGCTCAAGTCATTATGCTCAGGTCATTCAATAGTTCGTTTAATGTCTGATTACATTGTTGTCTTATCATGTAACACTGTTTGAACTTTTAAGATTTGGCATTTAAAATCTATTGAAAAATGATAAGCATATTTGTTAGTCTTAAACATTGTTGGAGAATAGAACAATTTCATAATGATTGAAAAATAATAGATTTTTATATATTTAAGAAATTTTAGATTATTTTATACCAGCTAGGCTATTTTTTTAACAAGTATTAGGGATAATAGGTAGGCTCTAAATGCTTAATTTGTTTTAGTTCAATAGCTTTATATGAATGGTGAATGATGAATTGCGTGAAGAGATTTTAGTATAAGGATTTTCTCATTGGTTCTATTCTTTGTCTTTGCTTATTCTTATCCAATTTAGTGGCTATGTATCTCTTCCCCACCTTTTTCTTTATCAGTAGTTTTGTAATGTTATGATTAAATCAAATAACATATAGAGTTCATCACTCTTGGTTTTCGATCCTCGGCTTGCTAGATACAGCATGACTTATTAATGATTTTTCTTCGATTTTCTAGCATCCCTTACTTTTTTATCAGTGCTTTTAATCAATATTTGGATGTTGAGAATGTATGTGAGAATATCGTATTTTCATGTAAAAGATACTGGTTATAGCAGCATGAACTATTTGATGTAGTTGTAGATGGTGCAAATATGGATCTTATCAAGGCAAATGCTTTCAATTTTTACCAGGTAAGGGGTTATCAAAAGAAGCATTTAATTGTTTTAGTCAAGCTATATGTTTTGCAAAATTTTTTAAGTTTCATATTAAGAACAATGAAAAGTGATTATCGTGCAATATGGTTAATGGTTTGTTAAGGTTATTAAATTTTGAGTGAATAAAAACAATGGTGGTGTTATGTTTTAGAAGAGGGGGATCCTCTTATACTAGTGTCAATTTTACACTCTTTTTGACCCTTAGATTAAAATGGCTAAAATTAAAAATATTATTTTAATCCAAATTATTCACAAATTTAATTTTTATTCAAAGGTCAAAAAAAGTATAAAACTTACACTAGTGTAAATAAGTCCTTACTCTTTTTAAAGTTTCTACTAAATTAAGTTCCATATTCACTTTACTTACAAAAAAATTGTGTTCTTTTTCTTGTTTTTTTTAGGTCACAATTCACTAGGCTAAACTAAAGTAGGCTTTTCATTGCAATTCTAGAAAGAAGGGATTCAATTATCTCTACAACATCCTTCAAGTAAATTTACTTTTTGTTTTTACTTCTCATGATTACCTTTCATCAGTTTTTATTATTGTCTTAGTTCATTGCTAATGTATTGGATAGAATATGTGGAAATATTTAATTTGGACATGGAAACTTCTAATATGTCTTTTCATTCAAAGAATTATTATAAGATAGCATCAATTAGGCAATATAACAACTTACCTCTATAAAACACTCTTAACTACCATACTTTGGATTCTTTGGTGTTAGCTTTTACTACATCTCTACATTTGAAGCTAGTTTGCCTAAATGCTAAAGATTATAATTATTTAGTTGAGATAATAAGATCCATGTTTGTCCTTATGGTTCTTTTTCATCTCCCCAAATTATAGGCTCTCAGGTCTTTGAACGTAGAAAAATTAGTAATACCTATAATCTTGAAATTTAGGGAAACTCAACAAACCAAAGCTATATGATTTAGGATTTGTTAGTTTTGTTTAGTTGAGGAAAATTCTCAAGTAAGTTAGATGAAGTTGATTTAGAAATATTTGGTATGTTATCTTTTGCTCACTTTAATTAGCTATAGGCCATAAAATATTTTCTTTCCCCATCGATGCAAGGTACTACCAAGAGAAAGAGTTTGAAACCTATTGCAAGTGAAGATCATTGAACATGGAGAATTTTGTAGCATTATTGGTCTATACTTACAAAGATTTTGCAACTTTTGAAAGATTTTTTTTGTGATGCCCCCAATTTCACATTAAAAGAATATGTGGATATGAAATGATATATTTGTAGAGATCTAAACTTAAACCTGTAAGATGTCTTTTGTGTGATAAAATCGCGAGACTTTAGGATCAAAGCGGATAATAACTCATAGGTTGGGTGGGTGTCTCCACAAATGATATTAGAACGATCACCGATCGACGAGAACTAAGTGCTATGTCGTAGAAGTTACTTAGTACTACATGGTGAGATCAAATCACTAAGTATTACATGATGCGAGCCATCTCTAGAATTCCAAGTTTGGTGTGATCTTGGTCCTATGGTTGAAATTAGTTTGTTCGAGACGTCAAGTTTTAAAGGTGGAAAGATTATAATGTCCCAACCCTACATTAGAAAAATATATTGATATGATATGACATATATATTGAGATTTAAATCTAAATCTATGAGACATCTTTTGTATGACAAAACTATGAGACTTTTGGATTAAAACGGATAATATCTTACAAATTGAGTGTAACTCTCCACACTTTCATAGGATAACACAGTATGTACAAACCTTTTACCAAATCTTTTTTATTTTTATGATATAGATTTAGTGAATAGAGTATTGAGGACAGAAATTTTATCTGCCTCTATATGATGTAGAGGTAAATAACAGGCTTTTTGAGACTAATATATGCGTCTTTATTAGTGGTTTTTATTCTAGTTGTTCCTGTTTCCTGCAAAACACAAAATCAGAATTAGAAGACAATCCCCACAATTAATGCTACAAACAGAAATAAATAAATAAGCAAGATCCCTTGGAATCTGGTAGGCACATATTAAACCACTGCTCATTTGCTGGTCTTCTAGAAATTATTCTATTTCCTTTGTAATGCTTTGCTCTACTTGCTCTGTTTTTACATGATCTATTCAAAATCTTTTTTATTACTATAATTTTCTACTATAGATGCATATGTAATTAGCTGATTTATATTGGCTTTATTAAAAAAATACTACTGAAATTTTCTTTTCCTTTGTTATTAAGTTTTCAATTAAAAAAATGATTTTGAATCATCATCTTTATAATTCTTCACCGTAGCAGAAAGGCCAGGTCCTTTACCTCCTATTGATGTCGGAGAAGAAGTTGTTGGACTTGGTGGCAGAGGAACTGCAATCTGATTATAAAATCGGTAATTAGTTTCAAACCTACAGACACAGTTTGGTCTAAGAACCCTGCATCCTATCCTTCCATAGCAACACTTTTGAAGCTCGCTCATCGCGTAAGTTAGACAAGTAGTGCAATTTCTCTTGTCCAAATCAGGAGTACACTGCACCGTAGCGTATACCGTTTGCAAGTTACCAGCTGTAGCATTACCAGCTGCATACTTGCGAAGAGGACCCCCTGCTGCAGCTTTGCTTTTCAGGTCATTCAACAGTCTACTTAATGCCTGATTGAACTTTCTAGGGTTCGATGCATTCGCTAGGTTGTAAACACAAGTACGAGGATCGTTCTCCAGCATTCCATACATGTCACGATTGGCGTATCGCACCAAACAAAGTTCAGACCACGCGGTCGCCTCCTTGTTGGAGGGACAAAATCGCTCGAGCTCGGTTGCGGTGTAGTTGAGGCAAGTGTTGCATTGATGTTGGTCTAAGTCACCCCTGCAAAGTGCGATTACGTTAACGTTATCAGGGCTTACACCAGCAGACAGATTGAAGAAGCCGTAATTGAATTCTGTAAGAGAGGAGAAGTGAGAGACGATGCTATTGAGGTTGCCCTGGTAATTGCTGTTTGCGGTGTAGTTGCCTCTGATTTCATTACAGCTATGCTCAAAATAAACATCATCCGAAAGGGTAAGAGTAGCAAGGGATAAAACAACTGAATAAGAAAACAGAAGAAATGTTGAAGATCCCATTCCCAGCGTCTAGTCCTCGCCCTTCACAATTCTTGGCCTGGGAAACTAATTTATAAAATTAAGAGTTACATTTTTGTTTTTGGGTAAGTATCACCGTATGGGATTGTGGTGTTCGACTAATGATTTTTTTCAGGTTTGTTCCCATTTTTTTTGTGCGTAGAATGGTTTCGGGCAGACACCTTGTCTGCCATTATCTACTTTGGATAAGCTGGACATCAATTGTTCATAGACATGTGGTGGTCGATGATTTTGACATTTGACATGTTGGATTGGGTTCCATGGTGGTCTGCTTGTGTTTTGACACGTGGAATCTGCAAATATTTTGCTACAAAACTGTCAGACTGGAACAAATGGCACCAAAATATAACGAGGCCAGTTAAGTGGGCCAATCGGTCTAGACCTTGGTCATGCGGGTATATTTTGATGCGCGAAAAAACCCGACCCAAATTTGTTTTAATTACTGTTGCTATTGGGGATTATCTGGTTATGAACACGCGGCTGAACATAATAAAAGGCTTAAGCTTCAACAATGTGATGACAATCATGTACTTGATAAAGAGAAGCTAAAGAATTCACTGGAATCTGCTGACAAAAAACTACATTGATACAGGTAATTTTTACTGCTTTTGAAAAGTTGGTTTATTTTAATGCTAGATTTTGTAAATTGAATTTTCTGCTCTGCAGAGTTAGAGAAGAAAAACGAGGAAGAGTTGAATGCGGTTGTTTCCGAGCTAAGGGACAATAATGCGTCTTCAAAGGAGAAGCTTTCGAAGGAAGTGTCCGAAAAGCTGGTCTGATCTTAATCTTAGAAACCTGTCATGCATGAGAAGATTAATGAGCTAAAGTTGAGCCTGGTTTTGATGTTCATTTATTCTACGTTTTGTGTGCCAGTGTACATGGACAAGTGATGCATGTTAATATTTGTATTTGATGCATTGGTATTGCTTAAATTTCCAGGAGAATTAGGTGGCTTGAGTGTTTAATTCTTCTTGGTTGTGCTGAGTAGAGTTCTATTTTGTAGGCTGAAAAGAATGAACTTCGTTATGAGAAACAAAGGCTAAAGACTGAGAAAGAGAATCTTGAGCGGCAATTCAAGACCTTGGGTTCTCAGCCAGGATTCCTACCTCATCTTCCCGCAATTCCAACTCCATTTTTTACCCCAGGCCAAAGTTGTTGGTGGCAAGTTGGTGCCCTTTTTTGTCTATCCTGGAGTTTCCATGTGGCAGTTATTGCCTCCTGCTGCTGTTGATATATCACAGGATTATAGTCTCTGTCCTCCGGTTGCATAAGCTGGCAGGATGTTATTTTGTGTCTGCCATCCTTAACAAAAGAACCATTGTTCAAACTTATATTTGTCATTGATCTTGGTGGTTTTCTTTTTAGTTTGTACATTTTACTTTTTACTTCCCTCTGGAAGAGAGTATGAGAACCGAAAGCCATGCTGGGCAAAGCTTGGAAGTTGAAACTCTCATCATTTATTGCTCAGATAACTTCTAACCTTGTACAAATAAATTTTGGTCAATTATGTTGCCCAATCTCTGAAGTTAGATATGATAAAAGTTGGGAACCGTTGATCACAGAGGCAGAATATATATTATTATAGGATGTGGGATTTCCACACTTTCACCCTCACCTCTTGTTGGTGAGATGTACATCAAAGTTTTTAACTGGAATATAATATATAGAAATGAAATTCAAGATAATAAACTTATTGTATTCAAACACTATCTAGGAGATCGCTCCAAATCCTCCTCGTCCAAGCTTATTGGCATCTGAAAAGTTATTAGTTGCAAACAGAACAGAATCAAAGTCGATTTCCAAGGACTCAGCCACAGTAATCTCATTCTAAGCTGCAAAACGCAATATGTTAATTGTACAGTTTCTTCACCATCTGGTCTATGACCATAGCAGTAGTGTGCTGTTTGTTTTTAGCAGGTGAAAATTTCGCTGAACGTCTTTCTATCATTATATTTTAGTGAATCAAGACAAATTTAATGTCATATTAACGGAGTCAATTTACTTACTTTCAAATTTTTTCGGTGTCTGTCTGCGTCTCATAAAAATGCACGTGGAGATTATATTAGTATCAGAATGCCAACAACTGAAGCAATAACAATGATTACTGTTCTTGTTGCGTTGTTCCGCTTTCCTGCAAAACACAATATTAGAATTAGAAGACAATCCCCACAATTAATGCCACAAGCAGAAATAAATAAATAAATAAGCAAGATCCCTTAGAATCCGGTAGGCACATATTAAACCACTACTCATTTTCTGGTCTTCTAGAAATTATTCTATTTCCTTCTAAGTTCTTTGCTCTGCTTGCTCTGTTTTTACATGATGTATTCAAAATCTTTTTTATTACTATAATTTTCTACTGTACATGTAGATTTAATTAGCTGATTTATATTGGCTTTATTAGAAAAATGCTATTAAAATTTTCTTTTCCTTCGCTATTAAGTTTTCAGTTCAAAAAAACTGTTTTTGAATCATCATTATTATAATTCTTCGTGGAGACAAAGAACGGTCAAACTTCAAAATTCCAAAGTGATAGCCGCTCTTGAATAAATGAGTAGAAGTCTTCTGTGTAGTCCTTATGTAAATCTTAACCCAATAAAAAATTGAAGAAAACAACAAAATTATTCATGGAATGGCTATTTTGTTTCTTAGAACAAAAACTTTGTGGTTATGCCAAAGGAACAGTAGCATGCAACTTAAGGCGAGAAAATGAATAAACACAAGGGCCATTTACAGGGGATTCAAGGAAACAATCAAATATCCATTTTGTACCCAAAACGGAAAAGTCAAGAGATATACCATTAGAAAATTGTAAGTTACATTTCTTATGCTAAGAGAATCCTTATATAGTCAAGATCTTATTATTCTTAGCATTAATTTTCAAGGAAAGAGAATGACATCTTTCGGCAGAAAGGCCAGATCCTTTACCTCCTATTGAAGTCGGAGAACAGGAAGTTGTTGGAGATGGTGGCGCTCCTATTGAATTCGGAGAAGAAGAAGTTGTTGGAGATGGTGGCGGTGTCGGTGACGGTGACGGCAGAGGAACTGTAATCTGATTATAAAATGGGTAATTAGTTTCAAACCTCAAGAGACAGTTTGGTCTAAGAACCCTGCATCCTATCCTTCCATAGCAACAATTTTGAAGCTCGCCCATCGCGTAATTTAGACAAGTAGTGCAATTTTTCTCGTCCAAATCAGGAGTACACTGCACCGTTGCGTATACCGTTTGCAAGTTACCAGCTGTAGCATTACTAGCTGCATACTTGCGAAGAGGACCCCCAGCTGCAGCTTTGCTGCTCAGATCATTCAGTAGTTCATTTAATGTCTGATTGAACTGATCAGGGTTTGATGCATTCGCTTCGTTGTATGCACAAGTACGAGGATCGTTCTCCAGCATTCCGTACATGTTTCGGTTGGCGTACCGCACCAAACAAAGTTCAGACCACGCGGTCGCCTCCTTGTTGGAGGGACAAAGTCGCTCGAGCTCTGTTGCGGTGTAGTTGAGGCAACTGTTGCATTGGCTTTGGTTTAAGTCACCCCTGCAAAGTGCGATTACGTTAACGTTGTCAGGGCTCACACCAGCTGACAGATTGACGAACCGTATTTGAATTCTGCAAGAGAGGAGAACTGAGAGACGATGCTATTGAGGTTGGCCCGGTAAGTGCTGTTTGCGGTGTAGTTGCCTTTGATTTCATTACAGCGAGGCACAAAATAAACATCATTCGAAAGGGTAAGTGTAGCAAGGGATAGAAGAACTGAATAAGAAAAGAGAAGAAATGTTGAAGATCCCATTCCCAGCGTCTAGTCCTCGCCCTTCACAATATTTGGCCTAGGAAACTAATTTATGAAAACACGACTGCGGACTGCCTTTTATGGTATATATGGGTCCATTTGGATCCCCAGTTGGCTGTGGTGTGGTGCGGTTGGCACCTTCAAACACGCTGGAATTTCAGGGTCCATTTGGATCCCCAGTTGGCTATGGTGTGATGGGGTTGGCATCTTCAATCATGCTGGAATCTCGATCACTTGATTACTAAAAAACTAGAAATTATAGGATAAACTCATTACTAAAAAACTAGAAATTAAATAAATATGTAAAATAAATAATTAATAAATTTAATAATTTTCAATTACTTATTAACTTCAAAACTATTAAATAATTTTAAATTTTTTATTATACAAAAATTTTATTTTAATATCTTTAATTATCATTTTTTTCATTATTAATCTCATCATAATTGATATGTTTATATTTAAATATATATTTTAACATTAATTTTAATTTATCATTATAATATTTAATTTTATTTTTATAATAATTAATTTTATCGTCATCATTGTTTTCAATGTCATCCAAACCAATTTTACTGCTGTTTGCTCCCACCGCTAGCCATTTACCAACGAATGTTCATGACTCTCCATTATGAGACTCTACTTTCGCCCTGATCATTAATTAATGTTTGAAAATAATGGAAATTAGCTAAGCTGGACTCTCTGAAAAATTGAGGTCTAATAATTTTACATATTCTTAACCGAATATTCAAAAGAATTTCTAAAATAAAGTAAAAAATAAAAAAGGAGAATTTTAAATTAAGTATTACATAAAATAATTCATTGCATGTTTGTCGAATGTTCAAATCGTACTATTCCTCAATTTTGAAAAAAAAAATTGAATGAGTTTCAGATGAATTTAATTGAAATCATGTAAGATTTCAAATTATCCATAACTAATTTGTGGCATGAGTTAATTTTAATTATTTAATTATATGGCGTGTGCTTTACTCTATTTGATGCATGAGTGATAATTTAATTTTTATTTTATTAATTTCTTATATAAAAATTTACATAAATTAAAAAGATAAAATTACAAATTTACTAAAACAATTAAAAAAATTATTTTATGTATAGAGTAATAAGGAAAACAATAACTTGTGTATTTTATTGATTCATTATTTCAAATTTCAATAATAATTTTTGTTAGTAAATTATTTAGTGAACTTTAATTAATATTTTAGTAAAGATTGTCATTCAAATTTTAATTTAATTTAATAATGAATATTTATTCCATATGATTGAATAATTAAAAAGTTCATTACTCAAATGGCTTATAACATAATTCTTTTTGAGTATTTAAAAAAAAATTTGTTACTTAAATAGCAAACTAGATATATAAATATTTTAAGTTATTCATAATATGACCTATTCAAAGTTCTAAATTGCTATAGAGGCATATAGAACTATTCAAACTTGGAATATGGAAGCCGTTCGAATTGGTTCTTGACCTGACGAAAGCAAGTCAACGGACGTCGATTGGCATAACTTAGTCCAAAGCGTGTGATTGGTAAGACCAAGACTATAACGAAAATTCTGGACATTGAAAACTTTTAATTATTTTTCAAACAAAACAAAAGGAGATTTTTTTTTTTTAAAGGATGAAACGAATAGAAAAAAAAATTATAGATATTGTAAATTAAATTTCCGATTAACCAAAGAATCTTTTAATTTTTCTTCTTTTTTTTTTTCATTTCTAATCAAAAGAATTAAATATGCAAACACAATTTTTACACTCATATCTTAGTAGGCCATGAATTAAAAAAAAAAAGGAAAAGGAAACACTAGATGTAAATTTGTTATGAAGGTAAGAGTAGGAAGAGTAAATTTAAGTCAAAATATTTGTAATTTTAACATTCAATTCTCAAATCCTATCAAGGATATAGATCTGTAACGGAAGCTTCGTTCTTGGACAATGTAAGTGTTTCATTGTCGGACACCATGGAATCATAGCCCAACAAGGATGACATCCAGATTCAATTTTGGTGTGCATAAAAATCGCTGGTTGTGATGGCTCCGGGAGGGAGATTGATAAGCTATTAAGCATCAGAATAATTGTAGCCATGGTTGGTCTGTCAGTTAGTTTTCTTGAACGTATAGTAAGCCAATGTGGATGCATCTTATCATTTCATTCCTGAAACCATCTATGAAGGTTGCTGGATCGATGAAATTCACTGCTGTCCCTTCCCTCCAATTTTTCCACGCCAACAAAAATTGTCAATAAGCGTATAGAAATTGGATTCCATGAACCTTCGTGATTTTATTTGGTTTTAGATATGACTTTAGATAGTCATACTTTAGAAATTAAAGGAGAAGAGGTAAAAATTTTTATCAACACTTTTCATCGATGGTTATTTCCGATAAAACAATTAGGAAAATTTGAAGAAATCCCAAAAAAGCATAAGAAATGTTGAAGTTTAATATATTAGTCCCATAATTGAATGATTAAAATCAGCTTTGTTTTTTACATTTTTCAATTTTGCTCGTTCTGATAAAACTCCATGTATTAGATTATGGTTTTTTTTGTTGGGGTTTACCTTAAATCTCATAATCACATATGAACAGTTAAGTGAAGTTATAAAAGTTTGAGTTTGTCTTATATCTTACATTGAGAGCTTACTAAATGTATATGGGGTTTCGCCTTTATAATTAAGATATTTTAGTTTTGATTTGAAAATCCCAAATAATTAGACACAAAGAGAATAACTAAGTGAGTAGGTTATTAAAAGGGTGTGATTAGGTTTTGGGTTATGTTTTGAGTAAAGAGTTTTTGATAATTTTTTCATTTCAAAAGTTTCACAGTTGTAAATATTTATTTATTAGTTTTATTTATTTATTAGTGAATTGGGTTTTGAGTAAGTCATTTTGGGTTAGGCTAAAATAAATATATTTGTGTATTCTTATTCTTGAATTAAGCTTGCTATTTTATGTGTGGGTATTGTGTGTGGGTGTTGATTTTCTAACAAGTGGTATTAGGCCAAGTTCGTAGGAAGAAAAAACAGGCCTAAAAGATCGTGAAAAAGATATATCTAGTATGCTTATGCTCAAGTTTGAGATTTTATTATTTGATAGAAAGAGTAATTTTATGTTATGACAAAGTATGATTCAAAATCTATTAGTACAAAGAGGGTTGGATTACGCATTAGAGAGTAGTAAGTTTAAGGAAATGTCTAACAATAATTGGAATAGAGTTCAAAAAAAAGTTGTTATACTATTAGATTGGCATTAGCGTGAGGTAAAGTATAATGTATTGATTGAGAGTACTCTGAAGAGTCTGTAAGATAATCTTGAGGGTATTTACGTTTTGAAGAATAGAATTCAGAAGAAAGCTGCTAGTACTATTAGATTGATACTAGCCCCAGAAATAAAGTATAGTGTGTTAATTGCAAGTACTCTAAAGAATTTATGGGATAAGCTTGAAGATATTTATGCTTTAAAGTCGTTAGCTAACAGATTATGTTTGAAGATGGATTTGAATTCTCTAAGGATAGAAGAAGGCACAAGTCTTCATAATCATCTGAATGAGTTTAATAGATTGGTTTTTCAATTATTAGTAATTTTTGTTGATGAGCTAAAAGATGAAGAGAATGCCTTAATTTTGTTGTCATCTTTGTCCAAGTTTTACAAGCCTTTAGTTTAGACTTTGTTGGTGGGTAAATCTACTTTGAAGTTGGATTATGTGACTGTTATATTGCTTGAGAACGAAAGATTTATAGGAATTCAGAACTTATCACTTGGAGGGAGTACACTTGTTGTAGAGGTTTTTTTGTTCGAAATAAAACTAAAAAAAAGATTGATGGATCAAGAAGGAGATCTAAATTAAGAGACAGTGATTACACTGACATAAAATGTTATTATTGTGGTGAAAAAGGAATATATCCAATGTACTTATCATAACATATAGATCCAAAAATTTATAGCTAGACTTAACAAATGAATGGAGTCACCACCAATCTTTTTTATTTAGGTGTGATTAGTCACCTAGGAATCTATCCCTTTAAAGAGTTCCTAAGATTGACTAAGGGTTCCTAAAAGAATAGATTTGGGTCTACTAATCAGAATAGGGTTCGGGAGTCGATTACATGTGAAAAAAGTTATAGCACCCCCACATGCCTATCTAAAGGATGGTATCATTTTATTTTAAATTTATCCTATGATCTTAAGTCTGATGGTTTCAAATTTATATCTGTAAATATTAAAAATAATTCTTAAGATTCTTCATTAATCTGCTAGAACTCTTAAAAATATTTTTTCACCTCAAGAGTATTTAAGAATCCTATTTGATATCTTGAAAAGGCTCCGTCATCGAAAAAAATTTTGTTAGTTTTTATTTTTTTTGTTGAAAATATGTCTAATTATTCCATCATTTCGGCCAAATTAAAAATATTTTTCTTATTTTGAATTTCTAGATTTTTTCGCCATTTGGGCTATTTAGAAATTCTTTTTAATTTTTTTTCTTGAAAAGAAAATAATATAATAATTATTTTTATTTAAATTTCATCTAAATTATTCTTCCATTTGAGCTAAGTTTAGAGAAAATTTCTTACCTAGAGATTTCTTAGGAATTTACCATTTGAAATTCTTAAAAATCTCATCCTTGGATAATTATCACATATTTTCAACCAAATTTTATTATTTTGAAAAAAATATAATTATTTGTATTAAAATTTCATCTAAATCATTCCACCGTTTGAGCCAAATTTAGATAAAATTTCTCACCTAGAAATTTCTTAAGAACTCACCATTTGAAATTTCTAGGAATCTCATCCTTGAGTAATTTGTATTTAATTCCAAAATTTTTATATTTTTATGTTTTTTTATATATTTTTTAATTTTTTTGATTTGAAAATAAATATTAATTATTGTTATTGAAACTTTATCTAAATTATTCTACAATTTAGGCCAAATTTAGACAATTTCTCACCTAAAAATTTTATAAAAATTTACCATTTGAAATTTTTATAAATTTCATCATTGGATAATTAATATTTATTCTCAAAATTTTTATTTTTATTATTTTTTAATTAAATTAAATCATGCAAAAACACTAAAAAAATAAATACATAAATAAAAAGAAATAATTAAAAAAATTAATTAAAAAAAATCAAAAAGAAATGGCTTAGCTCGGTTGGAATACGGCTTAGCCCAAAGCAGAAGAAACAGCTCAAAAACATAACTCAAAGACTCGACTCAACTCGACTGGAATAGATTGGCTGAAATGCGGGTTAACAAAATTGGGTCGCGATCAGGTCGGGTTAGCCCATAGAGAAACGTGCGGATCTTGGTATCTACTTACTTCCAAAACGACATCGTTTTACACTGGTATATAAGGCTAAAATCTGGTCTTTCTTTAGATTTCTCCTTTCTTTCTTTTCTCTTTTTCTTCTCTCTAGAAAATTTCAGATTCCAGTTGAATTTCTACCAAAACCTAGAAAAAAAAAAGCCAAAAACTGAAAATTTTCGTCGAAAAATTCAAAGTTGGCTGGAAAAGTCATTGAAAAATTGATTGAATTTTGAAATTTTTCTAGAAATTTTCCAGAAAAAAAACCAAAAATTTAAAAAAAAACTTAAAAATCCTTAAACTGTTTCTACTCTCTAGAACCTTTTTTTTTGCTTTTGTTTTCTTTGTATTGTGTATCCTTTTGTTTTGTTCAAGCCTATATTTATAGGCATTGATCAGAAGAGTTTCTGATCAATACAAATTTTTTTTTCGACTGAGATTCAAGATTATCAATCCTTGAATCCTAGTTTAACTCTACCACCCCAAATTTTTGATAAATTTTCATCATCTTCTAGAAGAAAAGAAAAAACATTATATCTAAAAAAAATTAAAACAAAATTCAAAACAAAGAAACCAAGAAAATAAAAAATAAAACCAAAAATAAAAGTAAAACTAAAAAATAAAATTGGGCCAATTTCCCCCATTTGGACCAAACCTAATTGATCCGGACTTGGATCAAATTGGATATCTACAATACTACAAGAAGCTGAAAAGGGATATAGTTGATTTTAAAAAGGCAAATGATGAGAAAAAATCGGATGAAAGAAAGAGTGATATTACTACTGTTGTGTTTGATGATGATGATGATGTCATTTTGAAAATTTGTGTGAATGAAATTCAGAATTTGAAAGGTGATAAAGGTTGGGTTTTAGATTCAACTGCTATAGTCCATGTTTGTAATGATTGGAGTTGTTTTGTGGAATTAGAAGATAAAGGTTGGGTTTTAGATTCAACTGCTATAGTCCATGTTTGTAATGATTGGAGTTGTTTTGTGGAATTAGAAGAAAATGAGAAATATGTGGATATTGTGGTTGCCAATAATGAAAAGCTGCAGATTCAAGATATTGGGAGTATTCACCTTAAATCTCACAATGGTGTTGTTAGGACGCTTCATCATATAAGGTATGTACCGCGTTATAGCTACAAGTTGATTATTTTGAGTAAGTTAGCTATGGTAAAAATGATAGGCTAAAAGTGTACAAGAATGTTAGTGTGATTCTACAAAGGAATAGAATCAAAGATCATCATTTGTACATGCTTGATAGAGGCTCAATTGTTAAAATTCTTGTGATGAAAGAAAATAAAAAAAGTAAGCGTGCCAACTTTACAAATATTATTGAAGTGTTTGAAAATTCAAATCAAGAGAGGATTTGTTAGAATTTGCCTTGAATCTCATAATCTCATGAAAAGTTAAGTGAAGTTATAAGAGTTTGAGTTTGTTTTGTATCTCACATTGAGAGTTTAGTAAAAGTATAAAAGGTTTTACCCTTATAAATAATATGTTTTAGTTTTGGTTTAAAATTTTCAAATAGTTAGACCTCTAAGAGAATAGCTAAGTAAGTAGGCTATTAAAATGGTATAATTGGGTTTTGGATTAAGTTTTAAATAAGAAGTTTTTGATGACTTTTCCTATTTTAAAACAGTTGTAAAGATTTATTTGTTAGTGGATTGGGTTTGAAGTAAGTCATTTTGGGTTAAATCGAAACAAATATATTTATGTATTCTTATTTTTTATTTGAACTTGTTATTTTGTGTGTGAATATTGCATGTGTATATTGATTTCCGAACATTTTTGTCTTTTTGTACTTTCTGACGATCTTTTAGTGGTTTTCTAGAAGCATATTTTAATTTTTTACAAACTGAGGGAGTCTAACGAGAGTCTATAGAAGAAGATTATTAAACTAAAGGTGAGCCTGGATTTTGATGTGAATTTTTTTTATGTTTTATGTGCCAGTATACATGGACAAGTGATAGCATGTTAAAGTTTGTATTTGATGCATTGGTATTGCTTAAATTTCAAGGAGAATTAGGTGGCTCTTGAGTGTTTAATTCTGTTTGGTTGTGCTGAGCAGAGTTCTATTTTGTAAGCTGAAAAGAATGAACTTCACCATGAGAAACAAAGCTAAAGACTGAGAGAATCTTGAGCGGCAAGTCAAACCCTTGTGTTCTCAGCCAGGATTCCTACCTCATCCTCCCGCTATTCCAACCCCATTTTCTACCCCAGACCAAGTTGTTGGTGGCAAGCTGGTGCTTCGCTATCCTGGAGTTTCCATGTGGCAGTTATTGCCTCCTGCTGTTGTTGATACATCACAGGATCATATTCTTTGTCCTCCGATTGCATAAGCTGGCAGGCTGTTATTTTGGGTCTGCCTTCCTCAGCACAAAGAACCATTGTTCAAACTGATATTTGTCATTGATCTTGGTGTTTTCTTTTTAGTTTGTACTTTTAATTTTTATTCCCTATGGAAGAGCATGAGAACTGAAAGCCATGTGGGGCGAAGCTGGGAAGTTGAAACTCTCATCATTTATTGCTGGAATATATATTATGAGCTCTCATCACAAAGCTGGATTATATATTATTATAGGATGTGGGATTTCCACCCAAACTTTCATCCCCATCTCTTGGTGGTGAGATATACAGTAAAGTCTTTAAGTGGAATATAATATATAGAAATGAAATTCAAGATAATAAACTTATTGTATACAACTTCAAAACACTATCTAGGAGATAGCTCAGTAATTGAAACCTCGTTGAGGGATGATGGGAGTAACTCGATAGTGGCCAATGAAGGTGACCTATCAGTTTCAATGTTGCTCTGCATACAAAACACAAAATCAGAATTAGAAGACAATCCCCACAATTAATGCTACAAACAGAAATAAATAAATAAGCAAGATCCCTTGGAATCTGGTAGGCACATATTAAACCACTGCTCATTTGCCGGTCTTCTAGGAATTATTCTATTTCCTTTGTAATGCTTTGCTCTGCTTGCTCTGTTTTTGCATGATCTATTCAAAATTATTGAGGGAATGGCTGTTTCCTTTCTTAGCACAAAAACTTTGTGGTTTTGCCAATGGAACAGTAGCATGCAACCTATAGCGAGAAAATGAATAAACACAAAGCCCATTTGCAGGGGATTCAAGGGAACAATCAAAAATCCATTTTGTAACCAAAACGGAAAAGCCAAGATGTATACATTTTTAAATCGTAAATTACATTTCTTATGCTAAGAGAATCCTTATATAGTCAAGATCTTATTATTCTTAGCATTAATTTTCAAGGAAAGAGAACGATATCTTTTAGCAGAAAGGCGAGATCCCTTACCTCCTATTGACGTGGGAAAAGAAGAAGTTGATGGAGATGGTGGCGGTGGTGGTGACGGCAGAGGAACTGCAATCTGATTATAAAATGGGTTAGATTCAAACCTCAAGACACAGTTTGGTCTAAGAACCCTGCATCCCATTCTTCCATAACAACAGTTTCGAAGCTCGTTCATCGCGAAAGTTAGACAAGTAGTGCAATTTCCCTCGTCCAAATCAGGAGTACACTGCACCGTAGCATATACTGTTTGCAAGTTACCAGCTGTAGCATTACCAGCTGCATACTTGCGAAGAGGACCCCCATCTGCAGCTTTGCTGCTCAGGTCATTCAATAGTTCACTTAATGCCTGATTGAACTGTTCAGGGTTCGATGCATTCGCTGGGTTGTATGCACAAGTACGAGGATCGTTCTCCAGCATTCCGTACATGTCTCGGTTGGCGTACCGCACCAAACAAAGTTCAGACCACGCAGTTGCCTCCTTGTTGGAGGGACAAAATCTTTCGAGCTCGGTTGCGGTGTAATTGAGGCAACTGTTGCATTGGCTTTGGTTTAAGTCACCCCTGCAAAGTGCGATTACGTTAGCGTTGTCAGGGCTTACACCAGCAGACAGATTGAAGAACCCATAATTGAACTCTGTAAGAGAGGAGAACTGAGAGACGATGCTATTGAGGTTGGCCTGGTAAGTGCTGTTTGCAGTGTAGTTGCCTCTGATTTCATTACAGTTATGCTCAAAATAAACATCATCAGAAAGCGTAAGTGTAGCAAGGGATAGAAGAACTGTATAAGAAAACAGAAGAAATGTTGAAGATCCCATTCCCAGCGTCTAGTCCTCGCTCTTCACAATTTTTGGCGTAGGATACTAATTTATGAAAACACGACTGCCTTTTGTGGTATATATAGGGTGGATCCCTAGTTGGCTGTGGTGTGGTGCGGTTGGCACCTCCAATCACGTTGGAATTTCGGGGTCCCTTTGGATCGCCAGTTGGCTAGGTTGGCAACTTCAATCACGCTGGAATCTCGCTTGGATCATTTGATTGTGATGCGGTGAAGCTGTTTTCATCATGCTGCTGCCTCAATTTCTCGCTAGAGCGCAAATGTCCAATGAAGATTTTGAATCTTCAACCGCAGCCTCTATTTCCATTATTCCTCTCTACTTCTGTTTTTCCTGATCATTAATCAATGTTAGAAAATAATGGAAATTAGCTAACCTTGACCCTACGAAATCCACGGCTCGTCCACCAACTGATAATTTGGGTTAAATAATTCTTCTAAATTCTATTGCTTAAAGATTTGGTTAGCATATTCTTAACTGAATATTTCAAGTTTCATGGGTAATTTTTGTTAGTAAATTATTTAGCGAACTTTAATCAATATTTTAGTAAATTTTAATAATAAACATGTTAGTAAATTTTAATTTCATTTAATAATAAATATTTATCCCAAATGATTGAATAATTAAAAAGTTTATTATTCAAATAGTTAATAAAATAATTCTTTTGAGTGTTTTAAAATATCTTGTTATTCAAATAGAAAGCTACATATATAACTATTTTAAATTATTGATAATGTGAACTATTCAAAGTTTTAAGTTACAATAGGCAAGCACGTCTTTCTCAAAATTTTAAGAAAACAAAGAATTTTTTTTTTTTTATATTTTAATGTTTATATTTCAATGCTTTAGTGAAGGAAAAATAGATATCAACAATTTTCGTGTTTGGTAAAAACAATTGACAACTTGAATATAGAAGCCGTTCAAATTGGCTCTTGACCCGACCAAAAGCAGGCCTAACGGATGTTGATTGGCCAAACTTGTTGGTAATTTGGAACAATGGTGCCATATACGTGTTTGGTTAACAAAGACAGCACGATTTTAAACGTACAGGAGCCTCAGTGATCAACAGAAGTCTCATAGATCAATTTGGTAAATGCACTATTTTTTTTTTACCTTTTTATTTTTACAATTGTATTATAAAAATAAAACTATCCTTACATTTCAATCTTCTTTTAGTTAAAAATTTTAAAATAATTTTGTTAATCTTTATATCAAGACATAATTTTATTAATTTAATATAATAAAAAAAATCTAATACATTACTATTTTTATTAATTTTTAATTATTTAGTAATATATTATTTTTCACATCAAAAATTTAATTTTTTAATAATTTATTAATTTTATAAGCATTAAATAATCTAAAATTTTTATTATATATAATTTCTAATTTAATATCTTTAATAATCATTTATCTTCTTATTATCATTTATCTCACATCCACCACAATTTTTAATTTTACCGAAATAAATTTTACCACTCATCGAGATGGACATTGAATCAAAGCATATAATTGGTAAGGCAAAGTCTATAACAAAATTCAAGACATTAGAAACTTTTAATTGTTTTTTCACACAAAACCAACGGAGATTTTTTTTCAAAAAGGATATAACCAATACAAATAAGTACTAAAATTTGAATTAAGATGTCATTTTTAAAATAATCACCAATGAAGATATCAACAATTTCTGTTTTGGGGCTAAAAAATTGACAACTTGCTTCTAATTAGTTGTTGGAAGTTTGTACTTTTTACTTTTTACTCCCCTCTGGAAGAGCATGAGAACTGAAAGTCATGTTGGGCGAAGCTTGGAAGTTGAAATGCTCATCATTTATTGTTCAGATAATTTCTAATTTGTACTCCTCTCCTTTGGAAGAGTATGAGAACTGGAAGCCATGTTGTTCGAAGCTTGAAAGTTGAAACCCTCATCTTTTATTACTCGGATAACTTCCAAGTTTAGTACAAACAAATTTTGGTCAATTACGTTGTCCAATCTCTGAAATTAGATATGCTAGAAATTGGAAACCGTTGATCACAGATATGGATTATATATTATTATAGGATGTGGATTTTCACACAAACTTTGAGATATACGGCAAAGTCTTTAGGTGGAATATAATCTACAGAAATGAAATTCAAGATAATAAACTTATTGTATACAACTTCCAAACACTATCTAGGAGATAGTTCAGTAATTGAAACCTCGTTGAGGGATGCTGGGAGTAACTCGATATTGGAGTTGTTGGACTCTGACGCCCATGAATTAGTGGCCAATGAAGATGACATGTCATTTTCGATGTTGCTCTGCATACAAAACGCTGGTTGTGATGGCACTGGGAGGGTGGTCGAGAAGCTATTCAGCATGAAAACAACTGAAGCCATGGTTGGTCTCCTAGCTATGTTTTCTTGAACGCATAGCAGTGCGATGTGGATGCATCTCATTATCTCATTTCTTGAACCATCACTCAATGTGGGATCAATCAGATTCAATGCTGTCCCTTCTCTCCAATTTCTCCATGCCTGACAAGAAATCAGCAATGTCCACTTAAAACATTCAAATATGTCTCTTTTAACATTTACAATTTTATTTGCATGAGGAAACAAACATGACTCTAGTCTTTAGAAATCATATACTTACAAAGTTCAGCATGTACTCATTACTCTCCTCGTGGCGGAAGCTATTATTTTTCTGACCACTGATAATTTCTAAAAGTAATACACCAAAGCTGAAGACATCTGATTTTACTGAGAAATGTCCATCAATAGCATATTCTGGAGCCATATATCCACTGCACCATAGAAAACTTCGTGAATTTTTTATTCTATTTTGGATTTTCATGCTGTTTCTGCTGCATAAAATACTACTAGATTAATGCACGTATTAAAAAAAAAAAAACAATTCCCAGCTCTTACTAGGTTCCCACAATTCTCATAGTATTGCCTTGCGTTTCATCCTGTCCAAACAACCTTGCCATCCCAAAATCGGAAATTTTAGGAATCATATCTGCATCTAACAAAATATTACTTGGTTTGAGATCGCGATGAATTATTCGAAGCCTAGAATCTTCATGAAGGTAAAGGAGTCCACGAGCAATGCCTTCGATGATTTTGTAGCGTGTTTCCCAATCTAGTTCTGCTTGCTTGACCTGATCTATATCATCACAAAATTTTTAGATCAATCGTATTGCATAGGAACAAACTCTAGGATTAATATAGGTTTTCGTCTGGTATTGTCAGTCTTAAACATGTCTTTATTGCTGGCTAGGCAGCTAAAAGACATCAAATATACAAAGTACTATAGTCTTTGAAAGCATGAAACCCAATTTGTTTTTTGCTAGGAAAAGGAAACTGATATAAATGCAATCAGAAATGAAATTGAAACTGAAACTTTACCAAAAATGAAATGATCAAGGCTTTTGTTTGGCACAAACTCATAAATGAGAATCTTTTCGTGTCCTTCCAAGCAGAAACCAATTAACCTAACCAAATTGCGGTGTTGAAGCTTGGCCAATAATAGGACTTCGTTTTTAAATTCTATGTCTCCCTGTTGAGATTCCATAGACAGTCTTTTCATAGCAACCTCTTCTCCATTTGGAAGCTGACCCTGGAAATATAGTAGAATGTACCACAAGTGACTTCTGATGGACTTAGAAATATGATTCTCGTTGAGATAAAACATACTACATTCTTTTCTGATAGCAGTGCTGATCTTTACCTTGTAAACAGCTCCAAATCCTCCTTGTCCAAGCTTATTGGCATCTGAAAAGTTATTAGTTGCAGCCAGAACAGAATCTAAGTCGATTTGCAAGGACTCAGCCCCAATAATCTCATCCTTAGCTGCAAAAAGCAATATGTTTATTGTGTAGTTTCTTCACCATCTGGTCTATAACCATAGCAGTAATGTGCTGTTTGTTTTTAGCAGTAGAAAATTTCGTTGAATGTCTTTCTGTCATTATATTTTAGTGAATCAAGCCAAATTTAATGTCATATTAACGGAGTCAATTTACTTACTTTCAACCTTTTTCGGTGTCTGTTTGCGTCTCATAAAAATGCATATCGAGATGATAATTAGTATCAGAACGCCAATAACTGAAGCAATAACAATGATTACTGTTCTTGTTGTGTTGTTCCCGTTTCCTGCAAAACACAATATTAGAATTAGAAGACAATCCCCACGATTAATGCCATAAACAGAAATAAATAAGCTAGATCCCCTGGAATCTGGTAGGTGTATATTAAACAACTACTCATTTGCTGGTCTTCTAGGAATTGTTCTATTTCCTTCGAAATGCTTTGCTCTGATTGCTCTGTTTTTAAATGATCTATTCAAAATATTTGTTATTGCAAAGATATAGCCGCCTTTGAATAAATGAGTAGAAGTCTTCTTTGTAGTCCTTAAATAAAATCTTAACCGAATAAAAAATTGAAGAAAACAACAAAATTATTCAAGCAATGGCTGTTCCGTTTTCTAAAACAAAACCTTTCTGGTTTCGCCAATGGAACAGTAGCATGCAACTTAAAGCGAGAAAATGAGTAAACACAAAGGCCAATTTGCAGGGGATTCAAGGGAACAATCAAAAATCCATTTGATACCCAAAACGGAAAAGCCAAGATATATACCATTTGTAAATTGTAAATTACATTTCTTATGCTAAGAGAATCCTTATTTAGATCTTATTATTCTTAGCATTAAAAGGAAAGAGAACGATATCTTTTAGCAGAAAGGCAAGATCCTTTACCTCCTATTGAAGTCGGAGAAGAAGAAGGTGGTAGAGGAACCGCAATGGGACTATAAAATGGGTTAGATTCAAACCTCAAGACACAGTTTGGTCTGAGAACCCTGCATCCTATCCTTTCATAGCAACACTTTTCAAGCTCGCTCATCGCGAAATCTAGACAAGTACTGCAATTTATCTCGTCCAAATCAGGAGTACACTGCACCGTTGCGTATACCGTTTGCAAGTTACCAGCTGTAGCATTACCTGCCGCATACTTGCGAAGCGGACCCCCAGCTGCAGCTTCGCTGCTCAGGTTTTTCAATAGTTCACTTAATCCCTTCTTGAACTGATCAGGGTTCGATGCATTTGCTTTGTTGTATACACAAGTACGAGGATCGTTCTCCAGCATTCCGTACATGTCTCGGTTGGCGTACCGCACCAAACAATGTTCAGACCACGCGGTCGCCTCCTTGATGGAGGGACAAAGTTGCTCGAGCTCGGTTGCGGTGTAGTTCAGGCAACTGTTGCATTGGCTTTGGTTTAAGTCACCCCTGCAAAGTGCGATTACGTTAACGTTGTCAGGACTTACACCAGCAGACAGATTGAAGAACCCGTAATTGAATTCTGTAAGAGAGGAGAACTGAGAGACGATGCTATTGAGGTTGGCCTGGTAATTGCTGTTTGTGGTGTAGTTGCCTCTGGTTTCAGTACAGTTGTGCTCAAAATAAACATCATCCGAAATGGTAAGAGTAACAAGGGATAGAAGAACTGAATAAGAAAACAGAAGAAATGTTGAAGATCCCATTCCCAGCGTCTAGTCCTTGCCCTTCACAATTTTTGGGCTAGTAAACTAATTTATTAAAACACGACTGCGGACTGCCTTTTATGGTATAGGATCCATTTGGATCCCCAGTTGGCAATGGTGTGGCGCGGCAACTACGGTTGGCCGGTTCAATGACGCTGGAATTTCAGAGTCCATTTGGATCCCCACTTGGCTTTAATGTGGTGCGGTTGACACCTTCAATCACGCTGGAATCTCAATCACTTGACTGTGACGCGGGCCTCAATTTCTCGTTGAAGCTCAAAGGCTCAAAGAAGGTCCATGCTTCCCCATTGTTTTTTTTTTTCTTTTTTGCCCTCGTAGCAATAGTGTAAAGACGAAAGTGCTCATACCACATAGCTTTTTTTTTTTTTATTTAGCATTTTTAAATAAATTCTTTAATTTAATATAATAATTTTTTTTTATAATTATAGGATCAACTCATTAATAAAAAAACTAAAAATTAAATAAATATATAAAATAAATAATTTAATAATTTTCAATTACTTATTAATTTCAAAATTATTAAATAATTTAAAAGTTTCATTTCATTTAATAATAAATATTTATTCCATATGATTGAATAATTAAAAAGTTTATTATTCAAATAACTAATAATACAATTCTTTTGAGTATTTAAAAAAAAATTTTGAAACAAATTTGTTATTCAAAATTTTTTCAAAATTTTGTTATTCAAGTAGCAAACTAGATATATAAATATTTAAATTATTCATAATGTGAACTATTCATATTTCTGAATTGCTAAAGGCATGCACGTCTTTCTCAAAAATTTAAGAAAACAAAGGATTTTCTTCATACTGTAATGTTTTATATTTCAATGCTTTAATTAAGGACAAACAGATATTAACAATTTTTGTTTTTGGTGAAAAAGAATTGACAACTTGGAAAATAGAAGCCGTTCAAATTGGTTCTTGACCTGACGAAAGCAAGTTAACAGATGTTGATTGGCAAAACTTAGCGGAAAGCGTATGGTTGGTAAGACCAGGCCTATAACGAAAATTCATGGCATTAAGAACTTTTAATTATTTTTCAAACAAAACCAAAGGAGATTTTTTTTTTCAAAAAAGGATGCAATGAATAAAAAAAAAAAAGAAGTTATAGATATTGTAAATTAAATTTCGGATTCACCAAAGAATCTTTTAATTTTCTTTTTTTTTTTTCATTTCTAATCGAAAGAATTAATTATGCGAACACAATTTTTGCACTCATATCTTATTAGCATAAGTTAAAAAAAGGAAAAAGAAAATTTGATATGAAGGCATGAGTCAGAAGAGTAAATTTAAGTCAAAATATTTGTAATTTTAACATTCAATTCTCAAATCCTATTGAGAATATAAATCAGTAACGGAAGCTTCAAGCTTGGACAATGGAAGTGTTTCACTTTTAGACACCATGGAATCATAGGCCAACGAGGATGAAATGCCAGATTTAATGTTGGTGTGCGTAAAAAACGGTGGTTGTGATGGCTCCGGGAGGGAGATTGATAAGCTATTAAGCATCAGAATGATTTTAGCCATGGTTGGTCTGTCAGCTACATTTTCCTGAATGCACAGTAATCCAATGTGGATGCATCTCATCATTTCATTCCTGGAACCGTCTATCAAGGTTGGATCAATGAGATTCTCTGCTGTCCCTTCCCTCCAATTTTTCCACGCCTGCAAAAAATTGTCAATAAGCATATAGAAAAGTGAAATTGGATTCCATGAACCTTCATGATTTTATTTGGCTTTAGATTTAGATATGACTTTAGATAGTCATACTTACACAGCTTACAACGTCCTCCACGTCCTCCCTATATCGGAAGCAATTATTTTTCTGACCACTTACAATTTCCAGAATGATCACACCAAAACTGAATACATCTGATTTTACAGAGAACTGCCCGTGCATAGCATACTCCGGTGCCATATATCCACTGCATGTGAACATATCTATTGTTATTCTCGATTTGACGAGCAAGGTTTTCTTATAGATCGAATGTAACTAAATCTTTATTTGGAGTTTCATGCTGTTTCTGTAACATATATAGTACTGGAATTTATGTAGTAAACAAACAATTCAAAGCTCAATCAGATTTTGATACTTACTATGTCCCTACAATCCTGCTGGTATTGCCTTGTGTTTCATCCAGTACAAACAACCTTGCCATCCCAAAATCTGCAATTTTAGGAATCATCTCCGCATCTAACAAAACGTTGCTTGCTTTAAGATCCCGGTGAATTATCCTAAGTCGAGAATCTTCGTGAAGGTAAAGAAGTCCACGAGCAATGCCACCTATGATTTTATAGCGCCGTTCCCAATCCAACTGTGCACGCTTGGCTCGATCTAATATTAATACAAGTTCATAAAAGTTTCAAATTGACTATAATAGAATAGGAAAAAATTACTAGGATTAATGCTTTTGCTTGGATGTTACCAGTTTGTGAATATGTTCTGTTGATGTCTATTCCTTAAAAAACATAAATTTTTTTAAAATTGTTACGAATACATCAGAAAGTGAAAATGAAACTGTACCAAATATGAAATGATCAAGGCTCCTGTTTGGCACAAACTCATAAATAAGAAGCTTTTCATGCCCTTCCAAGCAGAAACCAAGGAGCCTAACTAAATTGCGATGTTGGAGCTTGGCCACTAACAGGACCTCGTTCTTAAATTCTAGGTCTCCTTGTCTAGAATTCCTGGATAGTCTTTTCACAGCAACCTCTTGTCCATTTGGAAGCTGACCCTGAAAATAATATAATACAGCATAAGTGACTTTAGATTGATTTCAAAATTTAGGTTAAACTTCCGTAGTTTGAGATAAATGAATATTCTTTTCCAATTAGTAAGGCTTTTTACCTTGAAAACAGCTCCAAATCCACCTTGCCCAAGCTTGCTTGCATCAGAAAAGTTATTAGTTGCAGCCTGAACAGTGGCAAAGTCGAATTGCAAGGACTCAGCCCTAATAACCTCATCAACAGCTGCAAGAAGCAAAATGTTTTTACATGCAGATACAATAATTTTATTTGTTATGCATATCAAGTACATTCTTCTAAGACGTTATAAACTTATTCACTGGTAATTGACAGTAATTTTGCTTATTCATCACACATTTCTTCAGCAGCTGATTTATGACCCATAATAGCAGCTAATGGTTGAAATTTACTACTAATTGAATCAAGTCAATTGTCATGTTGCATTAGGGAGTAATATTACTTACTAGCAACTTTTTCTCGGGTCTTTCTGGCTCGCTGAAAGATGCAGAAGGAGCTAATTAGTAACAGAACTCCAACAACTGAAGCAATAACAATGATGACAACAATGATGACAGTACGAGTTGCGTTATTGCCCTTTCCTGCAAAATTCAATATTAGAATTTCATATACTTACACATCGACTAGATAAACTTAGAAGACAATGAAGACAATAATCCCCGCACAACTTTTTTTTTTTCCATTTTTCTACTATTATATTAAGCAAGCAAGTGTTTTTAAGGACGTAAGGTGAAGATAAGAAATTAAGAATTGAATACATTTAGGCAAAATTGGGGCAAAGTCGCAACATATAACCACTTTGAATAAATGAGGACAGGTTGGCAGCGGGCCTAAAGTCTCTTCTGTCTTACTCTTACCCCTTCACTATCGTGTCAAAATTAACAAAACAATAGGGCAAGAAAAAATCTAGCCCAAATACAGAACAAAAGAATTATTCAGGGATTTGGAGTTTTTTGAGTTATCATGAATAGGATGCAACTTAAAATGAGAAAATGAATTTAGGAAAGGCTATGTATTTTGAACTCGAGCTTAATTTGTTTGGTTCAGTCAATCACTCTTAAGAGATGGTATTCGAGAGATTTAAAGTCAAATTTTAACACTTATAAACTCTTCTGTAGCATCCTTTGTATATAAAAAAGCCATCTATGTCCAAGGAACGCAAAAATGATTCAAGCGTCAAGGAGAAAATTAAATAGATAAAACTATTCTTAATATCCATTTTAAGTGAAAAACGACAGATATAATTTAACAGCAGGACTAGAAACTTTACCTCCCGTAGAGGAAGGAGGAAACGTTGGAGATGGCGGAGGTGACGGTAGAGGAATTGGAGTCTGATAAAATAGGCTAGACTCAAACCTTGAGAAACAGCTTGGACTAAGAACCCTGCATCCCATTTTCCCCAAGCAGCAACGTCCAATCCCTTGCTTAGCCAACGTTAGACAATCACCACATTCCTGCTCGGACAAATCAGGACTGCACTGTACTAGAGCGTATACTGTTTGAAAATCGCCAGCCAATGAGTTATCTGCTGCATACTTGCGAAGAGGACCCCCAGCTGCGACTCGACTGCTCAGATTATTCAACAGGACATCCAATGCCTGATTGAACTGATCAGCATTCGTTACGTCTTGTGTGTTGGATAAACAATCGTTGGGAGAGCTTTCCATTTCTCCAAAGACGTCTCGGTTAGCGTAGCGCAGCATACAAAATTCAGACCATCCGATCACCTCCTTGTTAAAGGGACATCGCTGCCTGAGCTCTGAAATGGTGTCATTGAGGCAACTGTTGCAATCATCTTGGTTTCTATCCCCCCTGCAAAGTGCAATTGCATTAATGTTGCTGGGGTTTTCACCAGCAGACAGATTATAGAACCCGTAATTGAATTCTGTCAGAGAGGTGAGCTGAGAGAAGATGGTGTTGAGATTGGCCTGGTAAGTGCTGTTTGCAGTGAAGTTGCCCGCTGTGCTTATACAACTAGCCTGAAATAATGGATCGGCTGCAAGGGCGAGAGTAGCAAGGAATGGGAGAACTAAATAAAAATAGAGTAGCAGTTGTGAAGATCTCATTGCCATTGTGTCTCTCTGCCTTGAAAAAGATCTCTATGGAATTTTATAAACATAGGTGCTAAAATGGGGAAAACATCAATAAATTACAAAATCGAATTGAGAATTTGAGACTTTTTTTTTTAATTGGGTTTTTGGATCTTCTCTTTTTTCAAGCTCTCTTGTCTCATGTTCGTGTACCTAAGGATTTAGGTATGATTATAATTAATTAATTTATTATCACGAGCGGTAAAAGGGGTTAGGAACTAGGAACAATAAAAAACAATATTTGAGTGGATTGATGAAGATGGCAGTGGTTAATGACAAGCCGCCATGGACCAAGCTTGCCTTTCTGTGCGCCCAAAACACGGTATCCTCCTTTTCGAATACCCCATTTTTTTTTATCTACTTTATAGAATGCGTGACACAGGCAAAAGCAGATGGCACATTATTCCTTAGTCACCGCTTTTTGACCATTATTCATCCTAGTTAATTAAAGCATCTATATGTGGGTGAAGGAGATTGGCGAATTCTTATGGGAAGGAAAATATCAATATTGTTATCAATAAAACTGACCTTAACCTGGAGACTGAGTAAATGTAAATACACGATGGTTAATTATATAAAAGAAAACTAAAAGAAAATTGGAGATGATTGTCGATGTTTGTTAATTGTTACAATATAAATAAATTTATTGACTATTGACTTTTGGTCCATAGACTTTTTAAAAGTATCCAACATTTGTTGCCGTTGGTGGGTAATTTTAATTGGATGGACTACTTTTTTTTTAATCATTTTTTTTTTGTGTAAATTCAATATTTAATTTCGAATTTAATTTAATTGATATAATTTTGAGATGTAAATCTCAATATACGTTATCTTTTCTTCAACTACGGATTCAAGTGTTGAAGAATCTAAACTCGTAATTGTCACAATGGAACTAATTGAACAAGGCTAGCTCTCTCCAATCTAGCAGCCTGACATACTTCTTTTAAGGCCTCGACACTTATCTTTTAGATTTTGGAGATGTTAAAATTTGATTTTGGGTTATTCATAAATTTCTTTCCTAAATTGCTAGAAGGGCTTCGCGGTTCACACACTACGTTTAAGATCAAAGCAGATTCAGAATTTAGAAAAAAACAAAACAAAACAAAAAGAGACAGCAGTTGATTGAGATGGGAGTGGTGGAAGAGGATAAGCTGTGCAGCTTCAAGTTTATTTCCATCTCTGTGAGTGGAAAAAGAGCAAAGAATTTTTACTTTTATTTCCTTGTGGCAATTATAAAGCCGTGGAAAATCAATCACATTGCCTGTCAAAAGAGGAGATCTCAAGTTTTTTTCTTTTATTTATTTATTTATGTTTGTTCATCTGTGCAAATTTATAACATGAAAAGTATGGTCCAAGGGTAATCAGCTCAAACTGACAACCACTGAATTTTCTAAAAATCATGAATGATTATGGTACTGAATTTTGACACACAAATGGTTAGAAATGTGACCAGCTTGCTATCTCGGATGCAGCTCGGTAATTGAAACGTCATTGTTTGAGACTACCGCAATTTCATTTCTGGATTCACTGGGTTCTGTTGCCCCTGAATTTAAGTCCTGCGACCACGGCATCCCTGATTGAGTGTAGCTGTGCATAAAAAATGCAGGCTGCGAGGGTAGTGGCAGAGTGACAGAGTAGCTAGTAAGCATCAGAACAACCGAAGCCATGTTTGGTCTCGCAGCTGCATTTTCTTGAACACAAAGCAGCCCAATGTGGATGCATCTCATCAGCTCAGTTCTTGAACCATCCCTCAAACTGGGATCTACAAGATCCATTACTGTCCCATTCTTCCAATTTCTCCAAGCCTGCAGGGTTTAATTCATGTAAATTATTAAACAGTACATTCTTTTAATGCTTTAAATTAATTTCATGAGTTACAATCTCATACTTGGGGACAAAGGAATACTTACAAAGCTTAGAAGATCTTCTATATTACTCCCATTATTGAAAGCACTATTTTTTTGACCACTTAAAATCTCCATAAGTAGTACACCAAAACTAAAAATATCTGACTTAACAGAAAATTGCCCATGCATTGCATATTCAGGCGCCATGTATCCGCTGCAAGTCAATAAAAGAAAAATTAATTTTCCTTGTGGAAAAAAAGGGACAAATGACTTATCAATCTTTGAATCGTTCAAGTGAGGATGATCATCGGTCACATATCAGCCTCTTATTCACATGATAGGAGGGCAGAGGGCAGTTTAACAAAAAATAATAATAGTATATGCAATTACAAGTGTAATTTTTTACTCAGAAGATTTCTAGCACTTACTATGTTCCCACGACTCTATTAGTAGCACCTTGAGTTTGATCAACTGCACACAATCTTGCCATGCCAAAATCTGCAATTTTAGGATTCATCTCTGCGTCTAATAATATATTGCCTGCTTTGAGATCACGATGAATAATTCTGAGTCGGGAATCTTGATGAAGATAGAGAAGTCCCCGAGCAATGCCTCCTATGATTTTGTATCGTCTTTCCCAATCCAAATATGTACGGTTAACTGGATCTGCATCACCATAAATGTACAAATCCGAATTAATAAAATAAAACATGGATGTTGGTCTTTCGCTTTGTTCTATACATTCTATAATACACTGATATATCATACCAAATAAGAATTTATCCAGACTTGCGTTAGGCACAAACTCATAGATGAGAAGCCTTTCATTTCCTTCTAGGCAGAAACCTTGAAGCCTAACCAAATTCCTGTGCTGAAGCTTGGCCAATAACTGAACTTCGTTTTTGAATTCAAGATCTCCTTGTCCAGAATCTGTAGACAGCCTTTTCACTGCTATTAATCCTCCATTAGCAACTGTGCCCTGAGAAGATATCAGAATGAATTAAATATGCATATGCAAACTGAACTTGCATACCCTTTTTATTTCTTAGGGATGATCATTATCGTCTTACCTTATAAACTGCCCCAAATCCACCTTGTCCAAGCTTATTTGCATCAGAAAAGTGATTTGTTGCAGCTCTAATGGTGTTGAAATCATATTGCAAGGACTCTGCACTTATGATTTCATCCACGGCTTCAGCTCCTTCATGCTCTTCAGAGGTGTAACAAAAGTACAAAAACAACAAACAAGTAAACAGTAGATTCAATCACGAGCTAAATTCATTCACAACGTTCCAAAAAGGAAAAAAAGAACAAGTACACACACATACACAAAAAAAAAAAGACGATAAACCGATTTTTTAACTTACTTTCAGCTTTCACCTTTGACTTCCTCACCCCTAAAAAGATGAAGACGCCGCTGGAAATGAGAATTACCGCAAAAGCAACAGCCAAGACTGTTATGATAATAGTAGTTCGAGATGAATTACTCTTTTGTCCTGCAAAATTTCAAAAAAAATGCGTTTTCTATAAGACTGCTGAAATAGTGAACTTTGAAACTACTCTTAATTTAATTAATTAAATTCGAGAAACCCTTTTCCCTGTTGTCTAGGAAAAGAAAATTTTTACAGGCACACATCCCTTTGATACAAGATGGAGAAATTCTTGACAAACGTTCTTATTTGGGAAAGAAACAACTGTTGAATTGACAAAACAAAGCAGAAAGCGTACCTGTTGCAGTTGTGGTATCGTTTGAGGGCGGGGGAGATAGTGGGGATGCTGGTGTTGGTGGCGGTGATGATGGTGTTGGTATATCAGCAGCGGTGAGATCATAGAAGCGATCAATCTCAAACCTAAAATTACAGCTAGGCCCAATTACCCTGCCTCCTTGTTTTCTGTCACAGCATACCGGAATAGATCCAATAGCCTGACTCAAGCAAGAGCTGCAGGCAACCTCGGTCAAATCAGGAGTGCATTGAACAAGTGCATATATTGTTTGGAAAGCTGTAACTGCTCTACTTCCGGTTGCAAACTTGCGAAGGGAAGTGCCCGATGAAGCGTTATTTCTTAGGGTATCCATCAAAGTACCCAGGGCCTGATTAAAAGCATCCACATCCGTGACGTTATTTAAATTCCACATGTAGAACGCAGGGTTGGTTTCCATAACACCAACGATGGAGCGATTTGCGTAGCGGAACATGCAATTATCGTACCAGATGATTGCCTCTTTCTGGTTGGGGCAGAGATTTCTGAGCGCAGCGGTTGCGTTATTGATGCAGCTGATGCAATCACCTGAATTCACATCTCCCCTGCAAAGTGCAATTGAGTTAACTCTGTTCGAACCTTGGCCAGATGAAAAATTGTAGAACCCGTAATCATTTGCTGTGTTAAAGGAGAAAGCGGAAAGGAGGCTATTGAGGTTTGTCTCGTAAGTGCTGTTTCTGGTGAAATTACCACTACCATCTATACAGAAATTGTATAGAGGCTGTTGTTGGGCAATGTTAAGAGTAAGAAGGAAGGCAATAGTTAAAGAAGAGAAGAAAAACTGCAATGAAAAATCCATTGTCCTGCCTGCGGAGTACAGTAGCGTGCTGCTTCTGCGTCTTCAAAGCTTATTGGACCTATGATTTTCAAAGTTTATATTATAATGATCTGCAAAATCAAGATCATGTTAACATGCTTAAACTCTCCACAATTTTGAAATTCATAGATAATGATAGTGATAACGTTCCAAACACAAAGCATTAAAAAATTTCTTAAAGATGATTAAAATCTATGCTTGATGCATACTTAACTGGTTAGAAGTCTAAGAAAGCCATAGCAATGGCGGCCTGTGCCTCCCAGTCCTTATTGAATCTTGACAAAAAACTGTTGTTTGAGATTTGACCATTTCAAGAAGTAATGAGCACGGCATCTGGCCAAAACCAAAGGGTAATTAATGCGAGGCTAAATAAAGTCTATGATAACATGGGAAATTGATTGGTTTGGTGGACTTTTACAAGTCAAAAGAATGGTATTTAATTCGAAAGCCATGTGTCAAAATTTTCATATAGAAACATGAGGAAGGTGTCTTCTGTTCTCTGCCCAATTTAACATGCAGGAAGGTGTCTTCTGTTCTCTGCCTAATTTTGTTCTGCAGGAACTAGGGTAAAATTCTGCCGCTGACTTGGACGTCTCTGTCAGAGAAGAGAGGCTTACGGAGTAATTATTGAGAATTTCACTATATTAGGCAATGCGCTGAGTCAGTTTCATTCAATTTCATTGATGCAAAATTAAATGAACGAAACAAAGTTATACCTTTCAAAAAATTAAAAAAAAATTAAGTGGGTAGTTAAGTAGAGATAGGGTACAGAAATTCAAACCTGATAATATCTGCAAAATTAAATGAACGAAACAAAGTTATACCTTTCAAAAAATTAAAAAAAAAATAAGTGGGTGGTTAAGTAGAGACAGGGTACAGAAATTCAAACTTGATAATATCTAAGATTTAGTCAAAATCATATTAATTTGGGTGAATTTTCTAAGATAAAGTTGGTTTTTTGCCTTTTTAGAAAAACACGAAAGCAAATATAATTGGGTCTTGAAACGAGGAAGGGGGAACCAAACGGTGGACTCTCAAATCAACAGACCGTAATGGCGATTGGTAAAGATGAAAGAACTTTGCTGTGGCCTAATCACCCTTCTCAGTCCCAGTCAAAAGCCATATTATTAATTTATGGTCTCTCGGAAGAGTATTTTTAAATAAATTAAGATGACAGTCGAGAAAATAAGGTGATAGAAAATTCGTTAATGGTGACAGAAGTGAATGAAAGATACCTAACGGGAAAAAGACATTTCGGAAAGTTGAATCAGTCCGAAAATCATTTAATTAAAAGTTTTCCTTATAAAATACATACTCCATTATGCCGAGTTTCTTTTTTTTTTTTTTTTTTTTCAAGGATAGTGCTATTATTAGAGAGAGAGAGAGTGCTGTGGTCTTATGAAGTAGGTACAGAGCTTCGCCGTAGTTTCTTCTACATGCCACCTCAACTCTCAGGAGGTAGCGCATTTTAAAGGAGTTAGGATCTCCAGACACAGGTAATAAACTATGGAGTCGGCTATATTCATTATTTCAAGAATAGCGGTAAAAATATCAATTAATTGTTGAGTGATGTTGTTGATGGCAGTAGAGACATTCTTCGCAGTTACTGTTTGAAACATTACCCCTGCGGAGAAACAGCCCGTAAACCACGTCAGAGTTTCTGCCAGAGGTTGTGTTGTAAAAATCGATTGCCACGGGTGACGTTGGAGGATAGAGAGGAGAGCAGATGAATTGAAAAAAAAATTCAAATACATCTCTAGCCAATTTTTTTCTTTTGTATATTGATATATGATGAAGATATCTCCAATTCTTTTGTTGGTGTCATTCACTTAAAAAATGCTTAATTAGTGTTCAGAAGCTAGCATCCTTAGAATAGTGAAAAAAGGGAATATGCAACCACTAATCAATCACCGAGGTAACATATTTGAAATTGTAACCTCATTAACAGAACAGACTTTATCATTTGAAGTGGATTGAGTTGGTTCTTCAACAACACGTCCAACAGAAAATGCAGGTTCTGCTGGTAGAGGAAGTCTTATGGTCTCGTTTGCCAACATGACAATCACAGATGACATTTTAGGTCTGTCTGCTGGGTCTTCTTGAACGCACAACAGCCCAATATGGATGCATTTAAGAACCTCAGTGGCCACACACGACTTAACAAGGAGCGGGTCTATTAGCTTCATTCCTTGACCCTTAGACCATAGTTTCCATGCCTGTAATGTTACTTGAAATTAGAATGGTACATCACTACAGCCATCTATTTTTTTTTGGAAGACAAGCATAGGATAAAAACGTACAAACGTTAGGAGGCTTTCACCACGCTCCCAAAGATGAAAGCGATTGTTCCTTTTGCCGCTTATTATCTCCAGTAAGAGGACTCCGAAACTGAAAACATCGGATTTGACTGAAAAAAGTCCTTCCATAGCATACTCTGGTGCCATGTATCCACTATTTCAGTTCATAGGAATAGATAAAATCAGGTTAGATTATGGAAATATCAGAACCAAGAATCGTTAAGTTAACAAAATTGAGGGGCGATTACAAATTTTAGATTGTATAGAACTGCCACGTTCCTCCGCAAAGACTGCGATCTGATGTACTGCTTTTCCATTTTACAAAGTTCAATGCTAATTCTTTCTTTTCAATAAAATTTTATTTGACACATGCATTATTAAAGATCAAAAGACAACTACTGGAGAACCTAGATTAGTTAAAAAAAAAATTGTGGGCCTAGAAGTGCATGGGATAGTGGACTTACTATGTTCCAACCACTCTATTTGTATTTGCCTCGCTTTGATTTCCACCAAAAATTCTTGCCATTCCAAAATCTGATATCTTTGGGTTCATTTCGTGATCTAGCAAAACATTGCTAGCTTTAAGATCCCTATGAATAATTCTAAGACGAGAATCCTCATGTAAATACATGATGCCTCGGGCAATGCCATTAATAATGCTAAGGCGCTTCTGCCAATCCAGTTGCACACCAATGCTTGAATCTGGAAAAGAAACCCCCGAAAGAATAATAGTAGTTAGTTGATTTTTTTTTACCATATTTCATGAATAATGCTGTTAAAAAACTGAATAAAGCAGAAACAAGAATTTTTTGTTTGAGGATCAAACCAAAGAGGAACACGTCAAGGCTTTTATTGGGCATGTATTCATAGACAAGCAGTTTTTCGTTCTGCTCGAAGCAGCAGCCCAGGAGTCTCACAAGATTTCTATGTTGTAGTCTGGCAATTAACAAGACTTCATTCTTGAACTCAAGTAGCCCTTGCCCAGAAGTTCTAGAGAGCCTCTTAACTGCAATTTCTTTACCATCTGCCAGTTTACCCTAAAAAACGCATGAAAAGCATCTAAAAGAACTAAGTAAGATATAATTTTTTAAAAAGATTTATTTCATCTTGCTTTTGTGAAGCTGAAGAGGTCCAGCACCAACGTTATATACCTTGTACACAGGGCCAAATCCACCTTCTCCAAGTTTTTTTTCATCACAAAATTGTTTCGTCGCTGCTTGTAAAATATCTAACTGAATCGAGGGAAACTCCTGAGATCTCACCCCACTCTCATCCTGAAATATTTCAATTGAATAGTCGTCGCCAACCCTTCCTCCTAATTCAACTAACCGATCTTCTTTGCAGTTATGATCTATATTCTCTTCAAGAGAAAACAAATTAATTGGCATAACAATTGAGTCAAGAAAAATTGAAGTGGAAGTAAGATCCAGTCATCCAATGCATACCTTGAAAATTTCTCCTCCTCCAAAGGAAAACACCTCCAGAACAGAACAGAGTTAGTCCAAAAATCGCGGACAAACTTGCACCAATAGGAATCCACTTTGATTTACCTTCTGAATCTGAACCTGTTTTATGTTTTACTCCAAAAGAAAGTTCTATTTCAGTTGACTTTCAGAGAAAAAATGGTTTGGACACAGGCAAAGTTGTGATGTGAGATATAACTGATTAGCGCTTCATAGATGGGCATTAAGTTGTGTATTAAACAAAACATTGCAGGGCAAAAACAGGATAATCCTCTGCTTCCAAAGAGGAAAGAAAAATTGCTCGGTGATAAAATTAGCCTGTTACCTTTATTCTCCGGCAGTGGTGCCGGTGGTCTAGATGGGTCCGCACCTTTAGACCCTGTCGGTGGTGGTGCTAGTCTAGGTGGGTACGCAATCGACGGGGACATATCATACGTTATATAGCAACTAGGAGCCAAAATATGCCATCCTATTGTCCCTATGCAGCAATTGTTTGCCTGATTTAACAATTCCCTCAAACAATTAGAACATTTATCAACATTAAGATCTCTGGTGCACTGCATGAGACCACGCCTATTCCATGCTCCATTTTCCGCTGCCATTTCATATGCTGCAAACATATTTTCTGCACGTAGAGCCTGATCAACTAGAGAAGAAACCAAACCCGGGGTTCCTGCATCACGTGAAGTATTATTCCGCACTACAACAGTTGGACGAAGATCCGCCAGGCCGACGAAGTTGATGTTTGAATATCGTAACATGCATTGATCATACCAAATGATTGCTGTTTTATTAGAAGGGCATCTTTGTATAAGTGTTCGAGTAGCATTGTGGACACAATCCTGGCAAACACTGCTAGAAACATCACCTCTGCAGAGGAAGAGACTAAAAACTTCATTTGAGTTATCATAATAGAAGCTCTCATTGGAAGCTTTAGAGGGTAAAGAATCCAGAAGAGCTGTAAGGTTGGATATATAACTGGCATTGGCTATTTCATTTTCTGGACCTAAACAAGTGTGATTATAAGATGTTAGTGACTGGCAAGTAATGAAGCAAATAAGCCAGAAGATTCTGATGAAAAACAAAAGCAAGGTTTTGGTTTTGTAAAGGGGAGTCATTATTTTTTTTAATGGTAAAATGGGTTTCATCAATAATACAGGATTTGCTTTGAGGCTCGTCGGCTAAAGCACAATAACTCTATACTGTTTAGGGGCCCGTTGATATTTCTACAAAGCGGCCAAGAATTCTCATCAATGCCCATTGTAAGAAAGGAAAATACGGTGCTTCTAGGTTTCGCTTGGAGAGCATATAGAAAATTCAAAAGATGAAATTTTGAGAGACCAAAAAATCCAAAGATGAAAAAAAAATACGGTAGGAAAAATTAAAACGTGGATGGAAATTAAAATAATTTTTTTTACATCAATTTATTATATGATAGGATTGAAAAATGAAACTTACATTATTTTATCATTATAAATATTTTAAGTAAAAACTAAAAAGAAAAATTCTAAAAGTAAATGAATATTGTCTATTTATAATATTTGACTCAGTCCTCTTTTATTTTCTCACCTTTAATCTTTTTTATTTGAAATGATTTTTTATGAATAAAAATAAAAAATGACAATCTCTCTCTCTCTCTCTCTCTCTCTCTCTCTCTCTCTCTCTCTCTCTCTCTCTCTCTCTCTCTCTCTTATGATATAGGCTCAAGTCAACTGCAGCTTAACCTACAGATAAAGCTTAAATATTATGAGTTAAGAAATCCAAACCGGCAGTTGCTACAGAGCAACTTCGCGGAAGAACTTTCGAGTGGAAATCATAAATGCTACGACAGATTTTCTTATTCAGATAAACTACGTAGAAAACTAGAAATGCAATGAATTGACATATATCATGTGGAAAAATAATTTAAAGGTCGTGTATGTTTGACATATTGAGGTAGCACTCAATTCCAGCACGCCGTTGATCATTTACAAACAACTAGAAGCAAATGCAGGGCCAGTTCATAATGTGTGCTTGAAGGGGTCTTCCCCCCCAAAATTTTGAAACCTTCTATTATATAATTTATATTTTGTTAAATAAATTTAAATTGATCCCCAAATTGAGAATATTAATATTTTTTTATGATTTCGTAATCTTGAAATTTAATTAAGGGGTTAAAATTACATTACTATTTATCTTTTTATTATATCCACTAATCATTATTTAGAAATCTTTAAAATAAAAAATTTTGTTATTTATTTTAAATCACAATAATGTTATTTTAATTTTTTAGCTTTCCTGACAATATTAAGTTTCTAATCAAGTATTAAATTTATTTTTTTTTTGTAAAGAATTAAATTTTATTTACTACAATTAAAAATTTAATACTCTATCAATAGATAACACGATTATTGACTTTTTTTTTTCACTTTTAATTACTCTAAATTTCTATGTATGTTATCTTGTAATATTTTTCCCACACAAAAATCATATTTGAATCACTTTAAAAAGATAAGAAAAAACAAACACCATTGATTTTCAATTTCAAAATTTTCAACTTCATTTTTTAAAAGTGTATTTATTTATTTTTTTGGTTGTATATTTTTTTAATGATCGATTTATGCTAATAAAAATACTGATTTGTGCACTTTTTATTTTAGATTTAAACTGTAAAAAAAATCAAGAGAGATTTCATATTTCATTAAAAGATTGTGCAATTAATAATTTTACTATTAATTTAAAAAGTTATGTTATTTTTAAAAGTATGTTATAGTAATTTTTTTATAATTTTATAAACTCATTTTTTAATATAATTTTTATACATATTTATATTAATAAATATAATAAAATATATTTTTTGCTATAGAAATATGATAAATATTTTTATAAAAAATTAATTAAAACATAATATTAATCGACCACCTTAAAGTTAAATGTCAAGATCCCACTGAACAAATGAAAAATTCAAGGCAAAGAAAAAATAAGGGAAAATCACTGAATCTACGTACAACTTTAGGCAGACAAAAAAAGGGGCGGTAAAGTTAATCAACAATTGCAGTTTCAGGAAGGTGCTTTTAGTCCTTTCACCACTTCAAACTAGACGATGCATTGGATACCTTGATCTAGTCAGAACAGAACGTCCAATGATCAGCAGGCCACGTGTTTTCCTATATCTTGTGTTCTGATTTCATTGAGCAGCTATATGTTAATAGTTTTGATTCTTGTAATTAGATAAAATAGTCTTAATCAATTAAATAATTAAGTCAATAAAATTATAATAAAATAATCAATCAATCATATAAAAAATAATAATTTAACATGATTTAACCAATCGATCTACCAATTGGTCCATGTCTACGGATAAAAAAAATCTTCTTGTTATTGAGACTTATAAATACATTAAAACAATCAACACCCACTCTTAATCAGTACTCATAAACCTTCTTATTTTTCTCTAGTTTTATGAAGTTTTTTCAATCTAAACAAATATATATCCACATGCATCTGTACTTATGCGAAACGTCTCAACATTCTCTAGTCCATCTAAACAAATATAATAATCATCATACTTATATGAACATTTTCATTCTTCTATAATCCACTCATAAACACACAAAACCATAAAAATCATTTCTATCTCCTCTAATGTTTATACCATAAGATCTTACAACTCTCATACATATTTTTCTCATGCTTAACCCTATAAAGATTTCACTATTTATAAGCATACAAACTTACATATGAAGAATCCTTTTCCTCATAAAATTTTTCTCTTGAAATCTTTTTATCCATAAAAAATTACTTGTACATACTTAATGAGGATCAGTTGCTGGGATTTTTGTGATGAAAAAAAAAAAGAAAGATAAGCATGTTAGCTTTGCAGATATTGTTGAAATGTTTGGAGATTCAAATCAATAGAGAATTTGTTGGGTTTGCCTTGAATCTCTTAATCCCACATCAAAAGTTAAGTGAAGTTATAAGAGTTTGAGTTTGTCTTGCATCCTACATCGAGAGTTTAATAAAGGTATAAGGTATTTCACCCTTATAAATAAAATGTTTTAGCTTTGATTTAGTAATCTCAAATAGTTAGACACCAAGAAAATAGCTAAGTGAGTAGGCTATTAAAAGGATGTAATTGGATTTTGGGTTAAGTTTTAAGTACGAAGTTTTTGGTGACTTTTCTCATTCTAAATTAGTGGATTAGGTTGGGAGTAGGCCATTTTGAGTTGGACCAAAATAAATATATTTGTATGTTTTTATTCTTAATTTGAGCTTGTTATTTTATATGTGGGTGCTTTTGTGTGCATGTTGATTTTCCAATAAGTGGTATTAAAGCATGATCCGAGCCATGAAAAGAGACAAGTTCAGAAAAGCTTAATTCAAGAAAGAAGTTCGAGTTTATGTTTTGAAGATTAATTTGCATGAAGCATAAAAACACATAGGAGAATATACTTGTGAGACTTTTATTGTAGGTGTAGCCAAGCATGTTTAGCATAAAATTGATGATTGATAGAGTTTGAGCCATTGTGAAAATTGTTAAAAATAGTGACTCAAATCCCATAAGAAATTTATTTGAGATTGGTTAAATGTTATTTGATGGACAAGAAAACTTACAAAAGAAGAAATTATTCATACATGCTTGATAGAGGATTAGTTATTGGGATTCCTGTGACAAAAAAAAAGGAAGAAAAGTGTGTCAGCTTTGCAGATACTGTTGAAGTGTTTTAAGTTAAAGAAAGATTTGTTAGGATTTACCTTGAATCTCATAATCCCATATTGAAAGTTGAGTAAAGTTATAAGAGTTTAAATTTATCTTGTATCTGACATCGAGAGTTTAATAAAAGTATAAGAGGTTTCACCTTTATAATATATAAGATGTTTTGGTTTTAGTTTGAAAATCCTAGATAGTTAGACACCAAAAGAATAGCTAAGTAAGTAGGCTATTAAAAATGTGTAATTAGGTTTTGGGTTAAGTTTTTGAGTAAGGAGTTTTTGGTGATTTTTTTCATTCTAAAAGTGTCACAATTGTAAAAATTTATTTGATAGTGGATTGAGTTTGGAGTATATCATTTTAAGCTCAAATATATTTATATGTTATTATTCTTGATGTGAGCTTGCTAGTTTGTGAGTAAGTACTACGTGTGTCTGTTGATTTTTCAACAAGTGATATCAACCAATATCATACAAATCTCTTATGAAATTTGAGTCATTATTTTCAGTACTTGTCATCTTGACTTAAATTTTATGAAATCATCATTTTTATGTTAGATATGCTTTGCTTCACATGCAATAAAAGTCTTACAATCATCTTCTCTTGTGTTTTCATCGCTTCCTGTAAATTAATCTCTCAGCACATGAACTCGAACTCTTATTTGAATCGAGCTCATTTAGGCTTGCTTCTTCTCATATCTAGATTTTTTGCTTTGATGCTAATTGATAGGATCCCATCAACATTTGCTTTGAATATGACTTTGATGTTAATTTTTAAAATCATGACAATTCTAATTCTAATTGTTAGACGAAAAAGCCCAATCTAATTAAATAATTAAGCTAACATAAACATAATCTAATTTAATATATTTTAGCTCAATCAAACTATATTCACAAATGAAAAAAAGAGTTCTACTAATTGTAGAGAATTACAAAATCATCAAAACAATCAACACTCACTTAAAATCAATACCTATGAACACTCTAATTCTCTTCTAATTTTATGAAATATTTTTAACAAAAACAAACGCATATCCATGTGTTCTTATATCTATGTGAATCATCTAAATCTCCTCTAATTCACCTAAACAAATATAATAATTATCATACTTATGTAAATCCTTTCATTCGATCTTAATCCACTAACAAACATACACATTTATAAGGACTCTCTCAACCTCTTCTAATTTTATGAGGTATCTATCTTATAACTCTAAAATTTTTTTATATATTTTTCTCATATCTAGAGATTTTAGTCTTATGAAATATTTATCTTATAATCCTATAATTTTTTTACATATTTTTTTCGTACTTAAATATTATACTATTTATAAATAAACAAATTTTTAAAATTTTTTTTGTCTATTCAACAATATCTAAATATTTTTAATTAAATTTCTTATAAAATTTGAATAATTATTTTTAATAATATACCAGTTATCAACTTGTCCACGAACATTAGAAGTCCTAATAATTATGTCTTGGATGCATACATGTGAGACAAAATTTGTTAAAACTTAGGTAAACTGAAATAGGTGTCGAGAGTTAATGTATTAAAAGAGTGTAAACGTTGGTTGTCCGGTTAAAGGAACAATCTCATAA